CATATTTTTATTTATATACATACAAATTTATATTATATATACACATATATACAAAAACACACATAATGGATCTTAGTCGGGTCATATGGTAGGGAGGGTAGATTGGAGGGGATACCTGGGGTACCATAGGTGCACCTGCTGGCGCTCTGACAAAACGCCAATAAACCTGTTTTGCCTTTTTAATGTTTCAGACAATCACATATTATCAATAATGAAAAAAATGCTTTTTAACTTTATATACATCCCCGTAGACTAACAAATATTTGAATGGGTAAAGAGAATAAGAGGTTCATTTTTTTTAAGACTTTTGATCTCTGAAAATCGTATCATTGAATGAACATGCCTGAAGGAATGTTGTGTCTCATCATAACACGAACAAAGACAATTTTAAACGGCACATAAGTTTWWAAAAAAATAATAGTAAAAAAAATCGATAAGTTCCTGTAGTACCTAGTTGCATTAAAATGTAACTATAAACAAAATATTATGAGTTAGGACCTTCGTATTTTCCAATTTATAATCAATACGAATAATTATTAGTTTACCTAATTTCTGGTTACCAATTAAAAACTTGAATTAAACATAAATGTTTTAGGTAAGAACGCATCTCTTAATATTTAGAATTTTATAATAAATAATAAAATAATTTATGGTAAGCGTGAGAAAATAAACAACTTAAGTTGGATGCTGTATTTAGAACATGGGTACATTTATGTCTGACATATTAAATGTTGGGGGATAATAAGTCATCCCTTTTTCCAAGAACAGACCACCCACATATCCCTAAATGTATTATTTTTCCCTCACCCATATGCACTGGTGCGTCGATATAAATCTATGAACATTACARCAAAAATAATAATTATTGGTTGTATTTTATTTTATCACCAAAATAAATTCGTGGAATTGTTATATTATGAATTATGTTGATTCCACGGATTATCATATGACCACAACATGTTCATTTAATATGTAAATAATTTTCAAAAATTTAGGATAAAACTTTTAATTATTTTATTTATTTATTAAAATAATAATCAATAAATAATTTATACCTGTATAAAACGATAACTTTAACCAGTCTTTTTTTTTTGTGGACTTTATTTTTGTAAGAAAATTAGTTATATTTTTAAAATAAATAATATCTATTTTTTATAAGTGATATTTATAACAGTGCATTATATAGTATATTAGTATATAGTAAAATCTAGATTTCTATGTCCAAGGCCCTTTATCTATTCAACTGCTTACTTTATAACTTCATTAATCCCATGAATGCCCGATTCGAACCTTCTATTCGAAAATTCGTCTGTAATATATCTCACTCTGACTGTCATTTCCACAATCGCATTCTGGAGTGTCCTTAAATTTCCACTTGAACATCAAGTCAAATACRGACGAATGCCCGAATAGAAAGTAATAATAATATAATATCTTTATCTTTAAAAATTATAAAATAAAAGCTTCTTTATCTCGAGCATACCTCGAAACATGCTCTTCGGATAAAATACGGATTTCACTAATCGGTCGTCACGGGAAATGTTTTAACTTTTGTCTTTTAATGGATAATTATTTTTATTTGGAAAAATTAATTGGGAGGCCGAAAATAATAACAAATAAGTAAAAATTATGTAATTAAGTCGCTTTTTGTTCGGAATAAACTCCGAAACGGCTTTACGATTTGGCTGATTATTTTTTTGTGTTGTTTTGTTTTCGTAACTGTCATCAGGGATTATATGAATGAAAATTTTAGGAAAATACACTGAAATAGAGAATTTGAATGGTAAAAATACAACATTAGCGCCATCTGCCCAGCAAAAAATAAACTAAATATATTTTTGTTGATAATAAAGTTGCTATTGGTTGCAAAAAATAAAATAATTTGATTGAATATTTGAATATCATTTTAAAATATAAAAAAAATTTGGGAAAAAATTTGGTAAGGAATTCTTATGGTATTCTGCACAWCATTAAMAGTAAGAACTATGGCACTCGATGCATTAATAAAACCTTTGTAATTACGTACGCACTTCGCGGAATTTATAATTCACCGCAAGTGTATTGCTCCATGCTCCCATAATAACAAGCTAATTTTRACGAAACCACTGAGCACCGCGGCTATAATATAATAAAATCGAACATGTCTTGACTGACTCACTGACCGATTAACGTGTAAATTTGAATTTTGAATTTTCACGGTACCTTCGTGCGACCATTAAGTGTGCACTAAGAAAGTATTTAAGATAATCGATAAAATGTTCTAAGTTTTAAATACCATTACACTGAATATTAAATAACAAATTGAACAAAGTTTAAATCATATAGAATTGACTTTTTTAACAGGCACCAAACCATTTGCATGGATAACACTGGGAGGGACAACAAGCATATCTGTATAATATGTTATATTATTACATATTGCTATAAATTATGAATAAAAACTTAATAGAATATTTGGTATTTTTAGTCTTCACGTCCAACTTATTTTAAAACTAAACCTTATAGTATAGTACTTAATTGTAAAAAAAAACCTCCAATATCAAAAACACCAGTTATTTTGTATAATGTATTCCCACCCCAGTACCTCACCCATGATCTTTCACTCTCTGAATCTTACATTTTTCTATCTTCCATATCTTTGGAACTCCCAAATTGGGAGTACCCCTTATTTATTTTATACTTCCCTCCCCAAACCACTTCATCCTTAATCTTATTTCTTGCTTCCTAATTTATATTGTTAATTCTATTTCATTATGAAACATTATATATATAAATATATATTTCGATATTATAATTAATTCTCTTCATTCTTTATATTTGTATTTAAAAAGTAAAAAATACACCGAAAATATTGGTTTCACTTGTACATCTAACATCCTTGTAGGCTAAAGTTTTAGTTATTCCTGAATCCAATCTTCTTTGGCCACTAAAACATGAAAACTAACCAAGCCGAAATTTACCCTACAATACGATTACTCTAATATAGTAATTATATTGAATCACAGGCAGACAATTATTGCTGCACTCATGTCTATAACAAATTATAGTATCAATTTACACCAGAGTGAAAACTAATCAAAAAATTGACCTCTGTATGACTCATAAATTCAAATAGCAATTATCAGACACTTAGTATAATAAATAAAATACTAATCAATGATCATATACGAGTATATAATAATAATTCTAAATTTAGAGATCAATGAGAAATGAGCAATGCCAGATTAGGGGTCAATGTTGCCATAGAGCAAACATTTTTTTCTACTTCCCATAAAAATAAGAAAATTTATAAATACATTTTAAGTACATTAATGTCTGAAAATGTACCTATAAAATAAATAGTTTTTCAAAAAATAATTTAATTAAAATTAAAATATACGAGTAATACAAGTAAACTTTAATAAGTTAAATAATCATAATTATTATAATAATAGATGTTTTGGTTACCTACAATTTTTTTAATTATTTTTTATTTAACTATGTTTTTTCCTAAACTTTATTGTGGAAAATTGATCTATCTATTGACTATTACTTTCATCATATTTCATCAGTWATTGCTGATCAAATCAGATTCAATATAAAATATTGATAAATTACAATTTTTTCACAAATTAATGACGATCTTAGATAATTTTATACTCGTTTCAAGACAACAGAAGATATGTATTTCATACTTGTATTTAAAAAAAGATAGAGTAAAAGTATTTCTATATTAGGTAACAAGGTAACTTAAAATGATGATAATGAGTGTTTTATGAAACAATACAAGTGGTAAGATACCTTTTTTGGGACATTTTTAACAATGCTTTTAAATTGTATTAATTTTTCTTAAAGATAAGTTTTAAAATTTAAATCGAAAGATAATTCATAAACATTTTTTAAATTTTTATGAATCATAATTATAACATCTAATTTTTGAACAACTTAATAAAATGTTGGAACCTGGAGCAAATGCCCCTTTAGCACCTAGGTAATATAACACTGGGAATTAAGAGTAAAATCCAAATTTACAATTACCTTGAAAATTAAAACTAGTATGTATTTATTTGAGCTTTGATATTCATATTACTTTATATATTACTTAATAAAAAATAATCAAAAGTTGTTGATATCTAAAAATGAAAATATTTTCCTCAATAAATATAATACATTTTACCGAGGTGTTATCTAGTAACTGTGATTACAGGAATTACATAAATTACAATTTATAATCATATTGGGTATTTTTAATTTTCTGCTACAATAAACATACATGCATACAGTGTGATCACAATTTATGGTACAGTGAAACTTCAATTTAATGAATTTCTGTACTACAAATCTTTTTTCCTTCCTATTTTATTTGTGTCGTATTAATTAGATAGATAATAACTACATAACCAATGATGATAGGATTGAATTAACTGAGTAATTAAAAGATGAGCATTTTCCTTCATAAAAAATATAAGATTTTTTTTCTTGTATAGTATTAAATAACTACAAATTGGACAATAATTATTATTTATTTATGAACTTACAAGTAATTAATATATTTTAATACCTATCAATATGGGCGGATAGGTTTAYCCAGGAAGCTGGGAATTTTCCGGTAAGACCCTCTCTGTATTTCTAAAATAATTAGGCCACCATAATTGTGTAATCTTATCTATGCATCTACCTGTACTTATTAAAAGATATTAAGTATTCAGGGAAAAAATGTATTCGGAAATTAATTTATATAATAAACCATWAATCAAGCAACTACCCTCCACCTCACTTCCCGGTAATGTACGCAGAAGACTCAAAAGACAGTGGCCTAGAKACCTACTGAAATATTAAAAAAAATCCTGGTTGGGTGGCACTGCAGAGTGTCTACACATTAATGCTACTTCCTGTTATTAACCTTGTATCAAATGTACCCATAATGGCCATAATATTAATTGTATTGTATAAAATGTAAATAAAATGTTATATTAARAAAAATATTATTGTTGTATCTGTTTTATCTTAAATTCACTTACCTGGCACTGTTAAATGTAGAAGATGGYGAAGAATCAACAGCTCCAAATGCTATGCCGACAGCAAGGCCTTCAGGAATATTATGCACAGTGATAGCAATTATGAGTAATAGTATACGTTTCCAACTACATGCTTTCACGTCATTATCACATTCTATTTCAGTGTATACTGGTGGCGGGTGGGTAGATTTATAGAATCGTTGTCTAGCCTCTGAAATCTCTATAAAAAACATTAAAATACAACTTATATTAGACATAAAGTATAAGATCTGACAAATAGGTAACAAAAATAAATAAATATAAAATATATGATATTACATAAAATTGTATTAACTATTATTAGTTATTAGTTTATTAATTTAGTCATTTTTATAATATAGTTATTATTGAAATTATATAATATAGGGTGATTCACCAAGCATGCCAACCTCTTTTTATTTTTTTTTATTAATAATGAAGATATTCATTTTGATTTTAGGAATCTTTAAATATAACCAAAGACAATATTTTCAAATTCTTAAGTTTTTTTGTACACTTATGGAACGACTCGTGGCAAAACAAACTTTTTTTCTTCAAATGAGAACCCCTCCTTTTTACTGTAAATTAATTAGCGGATAATATTTTTGAGAAATTTGATGTATTGAAATCAAAATTTGAACGAGTAGTTTCCTAGTTATTAAAATATTTGTATTAAGGATAATAGTCCTTAAAAATTGTTTTACAAAAGTATAAAATATACTAGTATTTATGATACTAAGGTCATTTTTACAAATTATTCATGTTGATAGATTAATATTGATGACTAAAATTTTCAAATTCACCATAGAACACATATCTTATGAACCTAAACCACCGACCTTTTATTCTTTGAACACAAAGTTAAATAACTCAAAAACTACTCATTAAAATTTCGAGATTAATACATTATAATTCTCAAAAAAATYATATGCTAAATAATTTGGGTTCTCATTTGAAAAAAAAGTTTGTATCGTCACAGAACACTTCTTAAGTGGTACAAAAATCTCTAGAATTTGAAGAATATATTTAAAGATTCCAAAAGTCAGATTTTGAATAATTTCATTATTAAAGAAAAAAAGAAGGACGAGCATGCTTGATGAATCACCCCTTACTAATACAATCATAAAATAATTGAGTTGTTTGAGAAAATATGGTTAATTTTTTGACATAGTTTATGTCGTATTTACAGTATTAATGAACAATAAAAAGTTACCAATGTATTTATAAACAAAGACATTAACACAAACATATTCTATGCAACTAAATTTCACAACAAAACCTAGATTGCTTTACAATCACAATAAGTAATGTAAGCTTAGAATTCTCAAATATTCAAATTTTAACAATTTAAATCAGTACTTATTATAACCAGATCTGAATGAAGATAGCAGCCAATTGAAAAATGTACGATGAGCTGTGAGATCGTCATTTCAATTAATTAATTATAATACATTTCTAGTTAAAAGAAAATACCACTATAGCTTTAATGAACTTTTCAGGCCACAAAGGTCTTCATTTCAAAATAGGCCTTAATAAGCAATACAATTTATAAATTTATAAATTTAACTACAATTCTTACCATCAGTTATTCCAATTGATTGTTGATTATCTTTACTATAACTATGCTCCATATCAGAATCGCATTTGAACTTCTTTTTTGAACACTGATTTGCTTCTAACAATAAAATTAAATGAAAAATATATGAATAATATGAAACAAAATGGCATATAAATATTATGTAGTATTAAAAAATATAATAATTATACCTATGCATTTATTAAGTAAATTGAATATAGAATAAAAATTAATGCTACTAAAATAATAGCAGAGATATTATTTAAAAATAAATTGTTTAATATTAGTATTTTTGATAACATTAGTTATATGTTGTGAAATATAAGACAGCAGTTTAAGATTAACTCTATAAAAATATTGAAAATCACTAAAATATGGTTGGCTTCTACAAAAGACGAGAACCAAGTAGAAAACATATTTTGGGTTTACTTTATTAACAATATCGATATTAATGGYTTTATGCGTATTAATTCACAATCAAATCTCTATAAAATAAGTGGTGTTTACAATTTGATTGTGTTATATTTTACTTTGAATATGAATTTTTTATTTTTCATATTAATTGCTAACCAATTGCAGCACCTATAAACTTCAGATGTATTTAAATATTTACCGGGTATTAAAATATTAAGTACGTCCATTTCATAAGATGATATGATCAAGTCTGATAAATACACAAAAAATGCACCAAACAGAAAACCAACTAGTGCCGGTATAAATGAAAACTGTCCGTCATTTCCGTAGGTACTGTCCTGTCCAGCGAGTTCAATTGCTGGTGCCAACAGTGACCAATATGATGCCGCTATCATCACACCACTCGAGAATCCCAAGCTCCCATCCAGTAGTTTTCTCTRCAACGGACATCAATCATCAATTTAAATGATAAACTTTGCACACGTCAAACTGTCGTRTACAAGGAAAAACAAACGAAAACTTAGAACCCATAATTACTTGTGTACCGCTGAACACCAGTATTAAACTGGACCCGATGGCGGTTAAGCCCCATGTGAACAAAGTGCCGAACAGTGTCTGAACGACTGGACTGAAGTTTGGTAACATGATGGATATGCGTCGGAATCGGCTCAACTCATCAGAATCTAAACATCTGATGGTGTCGGCGAAACGCACACTCGTAAAATGTATTTAATCATAATTTTGTCGGAAAAAAAACACACTTCATGTTAGCGTGTTTACAAAATAGAAAATAAATAACGTAAACATAATACACTACTTGTCATTCTGCGATTGTTTTGATAATATAAGGCGCCATCTGGCGGTATACGCCACGACGATCGTCAGAATAATAATAATAATATTGTTGTCAGTCTATAATAATAATTATTGTTTTTTTTTTTTCATAGCCTACATGATATTATTATGTTACTTTAAGTCTTAAGACCTATCGCAGACTATGGTTGCTATAATATGACGGCTCTGGATGTTCTTTTCAATAATTTAAAGAAAGTCACGTCACACTGGCGCCTCCATAATGTATATATTTTTATTATATTTTGATGTACAGCAGCAATGTTTAAAAATCCCTTGCTCTTTTAAGATTCCATGTAATAAAATATAATATTATCATATCTTAGAATAAATCAATGTATTTATTTACAGGTTAATTATTATTCTTAAAGTATGGTAACGGGGTATGAGTTGGGCTATAATAATGGCTGTGGAGCATACAAGTCAGATTTKAAAGAAACATTCGGCGCCGCTCAGCGCTGTGATCCAAATATCCAATATTTGACCCCGTTGTGCAACCATAGTATCTATTATCTGTATTCGTGTTCTGTAAAGAACTGTTCAAGTGTTCAATGCATAGATAAATGAYTAACCCAAGGCGGATACACATAGGGCCAACAGTCCAACACGTGTAATCTTCGAGTAAACCACTCAATATTRTTATCGACTGTGCAACGTACCTACGTCTAATGTCTATTATATAAAACGTCTGTCGAGGCCATATTATTAAGTTCGTGGTCAAGTCAAAACGAGCGACTCCAAAGCAGCGACTTTTCGAAACGTTTCGTAATATCATAACGCCATAATAAAGGCATGTACAACGGTATACCTACCTAACGCATGTCTTAATATCAGGGCCGTATTTGTATGGCGGACATAAAATACATTTTGCCTCCAGCTGAATAATGTTGATACTGTACGGCATTCTAATGTGTTTTAGGTTTCGTAAAAATACCTAGTTTTTCCGCCGGACGAACAAATATTCACTTAAGCTACGCRGCATGTTTTTTGATTTTGTTTATCGAATCACATTATGTATTTCAATTTTAAACGAGTTAAGAACGATGGTGCAAATTTGCGCAAACAATTGTTTTGGAAGTTATAGCCTTCCAAAGTTTGCGATTTTACGTTTATGCGCACAACACATGTATCTACTGCCGTCTAGCTGCCACGCGCGACGCGCAGCGTCAGTAAAAAATTTAATTTTGTTTTCTACATAAATTAATAAACAGGATCGGTTTCTTCATTATCATTTGTTCCGCCAAGTTAAAATAACACACCYAAGTATAATAAATAATGATATTAATGTGGCTCCCTTCACCTAACGACTCCGGACCTCCGGATGACGAGTTGGATCGAGGCTCGGCCCTCAAACCCCCAGGGTTAAAATAGCCTAGATGGATCACCAAACAAATAAACTTAATTTTGTGAATTAAACTAACAAGAATAGTAGAGCTCTTTGCCTTCCGGCACCGGACGGTAGACTACCAAAGACCAAACAGTCCGAGATAAAAAAAAAATCCAACTAAACAACTCGCTTAAGTCTTTACTCCACGCGGCATAAAAATAATGTTACACGCATCTTGTATACCTACGTAAAATCGCAAACTTTGGAAGGCTATAACTTCCAAAATAATGGTTTCCGCAAATTTTTTTTTGCACCATCGTTCTCAACTCGTTAACATACGTATTACTTGATAAAAAAAAAAATCAAAAAACATGATGGGTAGTTAAAGTGAATTTATGCCTTAAATTTTGTTTACAAATAACATAATTAAATTGTTTACTCATAATACCTATTATTGACAATATAATTAGTGTATTAAACATAAGAGCACAATATCTTTTTTTCTTATGGTACCGAGGAATGGAGAAGGAACTAGGTTGCCAATACATCTGCTACGACCCAAACAATATTATCTGGCTCTACACGATTCTATACACCACTTGTTTGCTTTTGTGGTTTAATTTCAATATCTAATATGAAGTGGGAACACCAAAATGAATTTAATAAGTGAATAACTAAGAAAAATTATACACATTTTCTTTTAGGAATCTTATAAATTCATAAAATCTTAGTAATATACTAATTTACCTACCTATAGAACACCTATTATTTTTAATAATTAAATGAAAAAAAATAGTAAAATTTTTGTTGATTTGTCCTGCATAAAACAGTTTTTGCTATGTTGTACTTTGTAACAACAAGACAGACAACATAAGTGGGTGCAGCATCCTCTTAACCATTCTAATATCCTATTATAATATAATATTCACATATATTAAAATATAATACCATATAATMACCATAGTTATCAAGGCATAAAAATATTTCAAATACAATATTATGTAATTCTTTATTTTTTTTTCAATTCATACTTCACATTCAATCGTACATTAGTCATCTTACAATATTTGTCTAGCTAAATATACATTAAAAAATTTTTTTTAAGGATTACAATTCAATTTTTACAATAGGTACACAATACATAAACATTTATTTACATATAACTTATATTCAAGTTTACAATGCGTATAGAATAACAGTACCAAGGTGTTTTATCTTTAAAATCACTACATTACAAATTATAATGCATCAATAAAATGCCATTAATATATTTATGTATAAATGTATATATTATAAGTATTATATAGATAAATATAAATGGATTTTGAGATTGTAAGTGAAAATTTTTGTGTTTAAGATTTTAACAATGTAATATTGTATACACATAGTATTTTCCATAAATTTAATTACAGTTTATATACAAGAAAATTCATAATTTTTACTATTCAGAGGTTAAAAACAAAATATTTACTTCGTTAATGACCTATTGAATGTAGACATAAATGTATATATAAAAATGGTATTAAACATAACAACAACAACAACACTGTAGTCTGGATGTTCTGAAGTTAGGAACCGACCGTGAAAATCGGAGTACAAACATTGTTATTACAACAGGCACTTCAGTAGAGCCTATAAACTTAGAAATTTAAAAAAAATTACAAGTAGTCATACTAACAACGCGTGCACAGAATTTTATTTAACGAATCACGAGGCGATAATTGAATGTTAAGTGGGGACTACTTGAATATTTAAATCATTGCTAACATTTTCTGCATCCAAATACACTTAAAAACTCATTTTTATTATCTAAACTTTAACAGGGAAAATGGACAATATTTTTATAGGTAATAACTAATCTAAATCCCATCCCACCCTACATAAATACATCATTTATTAAGTAAACAAATTTTATAAAAATAATTATCATTATAATACAAAAAAAAATATCTAAGTTATTTGCTCTTTTATTAAAAATTAAATTGAACAAAATGACGAGTCATAAAATAAAACCAATAATCTTAAAAAAAATTATATATATTTTGTTTAAATTTACATTTAAATAGTGAAAATAAAAAGAGTTCTTTGTTTTATTATTTAATAATTTAAGGAAAATTAAAAATGGAAAACTTCATAAACAAAATATATAACTTAAATAAAAAGTAAGAGATAAATAGAGTAATACATTCATTGAATAAAAACAAATGATTTAAGTTTTTCTTAGTATTAAAAATTGAATTGCTATAAATAACTATTTATTTAGTAAGAAATAATGAAATTATAATGTAGCCTAAATTTAATTTTGAGACAGTTTTGCAAAAATTATTTATCCAGTATTTACAACAGCTTTCAATAATATATTATTAATAATGTGGTATTATAAAAACAAAACTAACAAAAGCTTTGCTTGATGATAAATTGTCAAAAATTAAAATACAATGCTAAAATTGTCGGACTAGAATATTCTATTCAGCCGAACTGAAATCAAAGCAGTTGGCGTTGGAATTTCTAATTAACATTAATTTATTAAGTTTATCGGTTTTTTTTTTAATTTCATCGAACTAATTACATAAACAATTTTATTTTAACCTAGTATATTATTATAATTTACAACATTTTACAAAATGTTTTTGATACACAAAATATCTAACGTTGTTTATGCCAATGGCGACGGTTATTATTATACCTGGGTTTCTTATATCCTCCGCCACCATTTCCACTACTGCCATTATGACGATATCCATTGTTATATTGTCTGTAATTTTTGGTTCGATTCATCCAAGTGATTTTACTTCGTCCCATTTTACCATTAAATTGATTTAATTGATTATGTAACATTTGTAAGGCATTGGAACCATTTTCTTTTGAGTGGTGATTCTTATTATCAAATTTCTTCTTTTTTACCTATACAAATGTATTTACTATTATTAACACAATCTGTGTTTAAAAATTAAAATGTTAAGTAACAAATGTGATTGATATTTTACCATCAATGATATAAATGTATTTATTAAATTTATTTATTTAGTTTTAAAAATGATTTAAATATACTCACTACTCCTCTATCAAAATCTTCATTGTATTCATCATCAAACGAACGTTTAACTCCATTAATTTTATCTTGTTCAGCCTCTCGGTCTACATAGCTTTTTTCACCATTCCAGGTTTTAACTAAAAATCACAATAATAATAATAATACAATATTAATAAATATAATAGTTCTAAGTACTTAGGTTTCTGAAAAATAATTACCATTGTTCATAAAAAACATTATTTAATTATTACATTTTTAAATAGGAAAATTTCAGAAGTTATTTTGAGGCATGGAAATGTTATTGAAAATCAAAGTCGAATAAGAATTTTTAATCAATAATCATGAAATTTTGAAGATGAAATTCAGTATTACGACTTAACTTTAACCAATACTATTTAAATAGATTTCAATATTATATATTCTGATTAAAGAGTTCCGTAGTCAAAAGTAAAATCTCATAACCATAAACATCTATATTGTAATTTTATCACATTAGGAAATCAAGCATTAAAGTGTTTATATTTAAATGGACCTTCCCATGACTAATATGTATTGAATGACAGTATTTCCACAGAGAAAATTCCGTACCACCTGAGGTAGGCAATCATTGAGTACACCAAGTTTCTTAAAAAAAGATCAGTAAGGTCAACTTGAAGATAAACATTTAGTATGCATTTAAATTTCACTGCTTAAACTAGTTCAAACTGTTCATAAGTACACACTTGATAAAGTAAGGTTCAGCCCCAAATCCTAAAACTCCAAATTATTTTATGTTTTAAGGAACATGGAACAAACTAATATTTCTCAAACTTAAGTATATTTAAAAATTTAGCCAACAGTGAAAAACTAAATTAGAAGCTGAAATATTATACAAACACCTATGGTAATAATCATTCTAATTTAATAGACACAATAGAAATATTCTAGATGATCATGAAAAAATAAGAATTAAGAAAATGGAAACTGTACRTGTTTGAGACAGTAATTAAAATATTATATAATTATGGATATTAATAGGATGTCATAATCTCATGAGTTGTATTTGAATTACAAATATACACTACCATAAATTCATAAAAAAGGTACTTTAAAAAATAAAATAAATTAGGTTAGGTTAAACTAGTTAAGACTTCTCTGGCATATTTTCCTATGAGTTAAGTATTTATTGTCAACAAAAAATGTTAGCGATAACATTTTAACAACGATAAAAACGTGTCTGCTCAGACAATTAATTAAGATGTATAAGAATTGAATAACATAAGACCCTTCCAATAAAATAACACAACTTGGATAAATATAGAATTAGAATATCATAAAAGTGGTAAAAAAAATAAAATAAGTCTTTGCATTGTTATTTAGTACAATTTAATGACACATTTGGAACTGAATCAACAAAACCAAACTATTGTGTTATTCCAGTGGAAATATAGCAATACTATACTCAATAATCTGTCACAAATATGGCTTTAGTTCAGATAAGTAATGGGTATTAACAATTAAGAATAGCATTATGAATATTTACCATCTCCGCCAAAACCCAAATGTGTTCTTGACTTCATGCTATCTTTAAAATTATTGCCATTTGATTTACTATTGCCATTAGTTTGAAAGTCGTTGGTAAACTTGGGCCTAAAATATGTATTTATGAATTAATTAGTATCACAAATAAAATCAATAATTTATAATTAGCAAAATTAATATGTAATAAACATAAATTACCAGTTCTTTGTCCCATTTGAATGTTTATGGTTATTCCCATTAGATAACTTACTCCTAAAATTCAAAAAAATAAATATATGTAATTGGTTTATTAAAAAAAAAAAATGAGGAACTATGCACACTAAACAACCAGGCTCAGAAATCAGGAAGGAAAAAAATCAAGAATATAACAGAACAACCCTTTAATAATACAATTTTATGTTCATCAAACATTAAATTGATATTAAAAACTTACCAAAGTTTATCATCAAGGGATTCATTTCCATTTAAAAATTTTCCATTTGTTTTGTTATCAGTTGGTGATTTATTTCTGTAACATTTAAGGTATATAATATAATATATACTGAATGTATGTGTTGTTATGTTATAAATATAATATTAAATTAAGCTAAAATAAATCCAAGTTATTTAAATAAATACCAACCCATTATTATAATTGTGATCAAGTCGGACTTTCGGCTTATTAACATCCAATTCCAAAATTCCATTTTCACGTCGGCGATTTTTTTTTTCAGGATCTTTTCCTTCAGATAAATGARATACCACCTTAGGAGTATTTACAACGTTATCATCTTTTGGAATTCGAACTAAACATTTTTTGATGGGTTCAGGTTCAGGTTTTACTTCTAATGGTTCTTCATCTTTAGGCTTCAATACTAAACATTTTTTTGCTGGTAGAATTTCTTTCTCCTGTTCATTGATAGGAGAATCATCATTTGGTGGTTTCAATACCAGACATTTTTTAGGCGGTGTTTCTGTAGCAATTTCACTAGGATCTTCTTTTGGTCTCATAACTAAAGGCTTTTTATCAGGAACTCTTTGGTCTGTTGAGTGTTTGGCTTTTCCTAATATTATGGGGGAAGAGCCATTATCTTCACCAGATAATGAACTATTATCATCATCACTACCATCTTTATCAGAATCAATATAAGGTACTAAACTATTATACATTAAAGATGGTTTGATTCCATTAGTCGAAGTTTCTATTGTTTTACTATTTGAATTCCAAGAGTTCTCAGTTAGTGATTTATCTTTTTGTTGTCCTTGTTTTAACCTTAAATTAAAAAGTAACATTTTAGTTAATTATTAGTATTTAGAATAAAACTCTGTTATCAATTAATGACAGTATGTAATGTATAAAATATAATATTAAGATACCCATAACTTACATTTTAATATTTGAATCCCATTTATCATATATTTGACTTTTTTTGTCTTTAATAATATTTTTTTTAATATTGTTTAAACCATTCAATGGTTTTGTTACACCGTTTAGAGGTTTTGTAACTCCATTGATTTTATCTAAATAAAAATAAATATTATAATATAAAATGCATGAAAAAAAATTATAAAACTTACTTGAAAAAAAACCATTTATGGATGGTTTACAAGTTGAAGTAGATGTTACAGTCGATGTCTTATTTTCTATATTTGTGTTATTCACGTTTCCCGAAGGTTCCAATTCATAAAATATTATATAGGAATCATTACTTGTTGAATAATTTTTGAAATTTGTTTGATAAACCTGTTTGATAAAATCAATAGTGAATAAATAAATAAATGTTACAAAAATATTATAATTAAAATACATACATTTGAATCGTTGAAATAGTAATACGATCCAGAGGGTGTTAGACCAAGAGCTGTGTAGTGACCACTATTTAAACTTGAACCGTAATGAATTACCATGGATACAAGATGGTATTTTAATGGTCGAGCATCATTTTTAAACTTATGATGATCAAATTGATAATTCGATAAATCTAATCGTTCATTTATTTGAATGGCTTTACTATTCTTATTTCCACTAAATCCACCCATACCAACACTATACCTGCAATATTATTGTAAGAATTTATCATTATTTTCTATTTAATTCACTGACAGAAAAATAATAATACACACAAAATATAATTCAAACAATAATTCACCTTTTCAACTGAATACATAATACATTTGGTGCTCTTTCAATAGAGAATTTTTTATCAGCAGAAACTTGTCGTCGACATCTTTCACAAACATATGATTCATCTAAAGGTTCTTTTTCAAAATAGTTGTCTAAAGCATCATTAACATTATCAGACTGCCTGATATCGAGTATGAGATCTTGGAAATGTTGAAACGTAGTTGATATGTGTCCACATTTACCACACGTTACTTGACATAAATTATATATTTTATATTAATGTTTAATTTAATTGTTTACAGTACGTTTATAATAAATATACCTTCAGTGCGGATATAACCACCAAAAATTTGGTTAATAGGTGTAGTTTCTTTAGAATAATTGTCTAGACTATATAAAAAAAATAAAATGCAATATTGAATTTAAATTAATATTTAAAATATGATATAGGTACATACGATTTAGCAGCATGTCCTAAAACAGACAAATAGCACCTTTCCATACTTTCGATAAGGTAACGAAGGAACTCGTGAGCATCCTCTTGCCGATATGTTGACAAATGTTTACATATTACTAACAAATAAAAATAAAATCATTTTATTAGTTCAAACTTAATTTTAATTATCAGATAAATATACATACAAGATAGGCGATTAGTTATGATTGATGCTTTGAAACTAGAACCAGTGTGTTTTTGAGATAGTGCAAATGTATTACAGACCATACATACAATACAATCTTTTTGAAATCCAGCTAAAAATATATTAAAAAATATTCTTTTATAGAAACTTGTTTTCAAGTGTAAATGATTATATCATACATGTCCATTTAAAACTAGGCCTACACTGTGAATATTATAAAAAAAATTAGTATATACCTAATATAATATTGATACAAACATACATAATATATAACAAATATTAATTTTACGCAACACATATTTTATTTTTTGAGTGTTATTTTTAATCATACAAATTAAATTTATATTTACTTTTTTGTTGACAAGTTTTTTGATGTTGTTCATCATTCATTAGCCAATTTGTAAATGCAGGAATATGAAATAGTGCCTAATAAACACATTTATAAAATTAAAATTAAATAAAATACATATATTATATATATTAACATAAAAAAGTTAACTAAAACACATACTTGTAATGTAGAATTGATGTAACATATTACACCAGGATTATCTAATCCAGAACCAACTGGCATTTTTTTATCTTGCCATCCTAGTTGTACACGTTCAGGAGGATATAACACTACTTTAGGTTTAGGTAAATGGGATATTTTATTAGTATCCCCACCATTCAGCCTTTCATTTTTTTTAATTATATCTTTTTTACTACAACCATTTTGTAGTAACATGATACAATTGTTTTTCATTTGAGATAACATTGAAGGTTTATGGTCTAACATTTCAAATTCTATATTTTTATCTAAAATTCTACTTGATGCTATGTATAAATAACTAGAACGGTCATCTGCCACAGAAGAATGGTGAGTCCGTCGATCAGTAACTTTGTTAGAAAGAGACTGAAATAAAGCAGAACCTATTTGATTGCTTGCGGCTGGCATTATTATGATTCCAACTCATCATATGGGTAACTTAATTATCTGAAAAACAAAATAGTTTATTCAATTTTTTATTTTAAACATCATCTTTTAAAAGGTGATAATGTAAAATACTATTGTTATACATTTACAATTTTATTATATAGGTAAGAATTATAAATAATAATAACAATATCAAAATATACAATGGTGCAATGTATAAATAACCTATCACAGTGAAACTTCTGTACAAATTAAAAATATCATCACGAGAATAATCAAAAATGAGATAGTGAAATGTAGATACTATCAGAAATAATATATTATTAGATAAGTAGGTACCTATATCAATGTATTAATGAAAGATAATTAATGTAGACAATTATACCTGAATACATTTACCCGAGCATTTACCTATCAATATTTAAGTACCAAATAAAATTTTAAAATATAAATATGAATTGGGTATAAGAAGCCCTAAAAGAATATTTTACAGCAAAATAATAATGAAATTTTAGACAAATATAGGTACTTTCTTCGCTACAAAGTGAACTCACAATCCAGGTACCTAGGTATTTTGTTTAAGCTCAACATTTTTTTTTGATTTGAATTATTCAATCTATACGAATTACGTACAATAAGCGTAAATGATATAAAAGTAAATACAGACATTAAAAATTTGAATTGGAGAAACTGCCCCCCTGCGACACTCCTAAGGACAAAATATACATTTGTAGGGAATCAGTTCTTTAAACTAACCTAATATAAAAGACATGACATTTTTACTAAAAAAAAAAAAATGTTACAACACAGAAAGAAATGAAATAGAATAATATTATAAGATCCATGAGTTTGGGATGATTAAATCTCATCATTGACTAATTGTAAAGTTTGATACTTAAACGATGATTTGATTATTCTTGAAAATTTAATTTTATGTAAATATTAAATAGTAAATAATAAATTCCTCCTCGTGTCATAAAATAATTTGCTTTAACCAAATAAATTGATTTAAAAGATAAAAAATTCAATTAGAATATTTGTTTATGTATTTAGTACCTATATGGTTATTTTCTTTTTTATAGCTAATTGTAAACATTTCACTTAAGTTCTGTAAAATCCTATTTAATTTCAATATTAAATAACAATAATATTATAGACTAGACACCTAACTTAGAACAGATAAACTTAATACCTAATATGTATATATATTATTATTATTGTTCAATTTTACAGATGCATACAACTAACTCAAACAGGCTTTGTTTAAGAAGATATGATGTCATGTGTTGTCTCCGTCTTACAATTGCGTAACATTGCAAAAACTGTTTAATGCGGGATAGAGCCATTCGTCTGTATTCTAAATAGAAACACCAAAAGGTTAACACAATATAGCAGATAATATTTTCTGTGTCATAGCGTTTTTATTTGTTTGATATCTTTAATCAGAAAAAAGTTATAATACTTTTAAAAATAATTTGATATTTTTAAGTTTTTCAAACTTCAATAACTTTTAACATATTGGTCTAATCGAAAAATAAAAACACTGTGACACAGTTAAAATTCTCCTTTTATCATGGTGAAAATTTGGTTTCTTAGTTATAACTGTAGACTTCTGGGTCCTTTCCCGTGCGAAACAAACAGTTTTTGGTATGTTACGCACTCGTAAGACGGAGACAACACATGCGGGTATCACGTCCTCTTAACAAACAAATATTTGGGAATCCATGATATCAAATCATCATTCATCAATGATGTCACGTATCTATCGACTTTAGATTCAAATATCGAGTTCACACGATAGTACGATACATTTACTGCTTGTCTTCCATACACACTCGCCCGTGACATTGCATTATCGAAGGTTCACATATTATAATCTGTCCTAGCCCCAGGCGCTATCACACATGGTGGTCGCGAATTACAAAGGTTAATATATTTTAGTTAAGCACTTAGTTTCGCGTTTTTAAGAAAACCTCCCCAATCACACTCAATAAAGCGAGCACGAGAATTTTGGCGGAAACCGGCCGGGCGGCCATATCGTATGTACACGCGCGCTCGAGCGCTCCCGCTCTCCCGGTCCGCTGACGGATGACGGTGACCACCGACACGCTTATTTTTTGTCAATCTTACACGCCTAACCGATAACCAGCCAACACTACCTCGACCAAGGGAACTTAATAATATTGTGCGACTGAACGACACGACGATGATATTATAATTATACTCACGTCGAATCCGGGGCAGCAGCAATGGCGTGCAGTCGCGTAATCGGGTACACGTTACTAAAGTTACTAATAATAATATTTGTTATTATTAATATTATAGTATTATAACTACAGAATACACACACACGTGATAAGGTAAAAATAAAAGTAAAAAATAATTAAAAAATAAAAATAACTATAACACCGAGGAACGTAGAATTCACTTGACTTTTTCGACTGCAAAATTAGTTACACAGTTACACTACCGAAACGACTAACCTGTAAACTTGGCCTTAGGAGCCGCCTGTGAGTGTTGTCCGATACCCCGATTGCAGGCAACCAATCAACGTCAGGCTCATCACAAATATCATGGCGTAGAAAACAAAAGTAACCCGTTCGAATCGAAATGCCGCTCAGTTATTACTTAATACTTATAATACAACTTATAAGGTCAATTGTCAATATCATAAATCATTATATTAAATTAATATAAACCACCACTATCGCATTTCATCCACATTTTATTTCAATCTACCGATATTTTCCCATATTTACATCAATTTTCTAGAAGCATGAACGTCCGTGATGGATTTAGTGCGGACCACGGACTGTCGGTCGGTTCTTCCATGGATTAATGTTAGTCGATCACGGAATGGTGGGGATTTTCGTGGGCCGCTATAGTGACTATCAGGATTTTAGAATTGGACAATGATAGACAATGGACATTCTAATTCTAATGTCTAATGCAGTGGTTCTCAATCGATGTGCCGCGGCACAATATACTGTACCGAGAGATCGATTATATATGTGTGCCGCGAGAAGTTTATGATATTTGTTACTATGCTRGTAAAAATATTGAAAATAGTAATTTATTTCATTACATGTGTGTTGAGTGTGCCGCGAAAATTTGTGCATTAAACCATATTTTATAAAAATGATAACGGATAAATGAATTTGTATATGTATATGTTCTACTGTAATATATATTTAAACACTATTAGTGCAGGCTGCAACCAAAATTACATCCAAAATCGTGATATGAGTATATGAAATAACAAACAACAGACACACAGTTAAATATTAACTAATTAGTTTTAACACGAAGATCGGCCCACCATGCAGGAACTTTGACGGTATCCCGGGGGGCCAATCTGCCATTAATTACAAACAGTATATAATAATGACTGAAACTTCATTATTTATCAATCAATTATTGAAATTTATACCTGCAATTATTGCCAACAATGTCTGCGGTGTCTATCATGCACTCCACGTGTCTTACTGATTACATCGCCAATCATTAGCTAGACTAATAGCCGATAATCGTTATTTCCAAAATTTACAGTGATTTTATAACCATAAATTAGCAATTCCAATAAATATTACGATTAAAACGAAAATGTTGTTGACGTTATTGCTTAAAGTAATTTATTTTATTGTAACGTTTATATAACTTTATTTAATATAAATTCCGTTTTCAAAATTGATCGAACATTTTTTTTTCACTATGGTTACCTATCCCATATTCCAACACCTGATATCTAAGTATCTAACACTAACATTTGTTATTACCCACTATTTATATATTATAATATATTAAAAATATATTAATTTTATTTTAGTCGAAGTAATGCTTCGATTTTCAAATGCAGTATCTTTTCCGGGGAGAAAGAAGAAATTAATCTAGTTGGTACATTCAGGAGGTCAAAATTTAAAATTTACAGTAGTTCTTAAAAGGGTTTGGAAAAACAAAAAAAAAAAACCGAAGGAAAAAAGTGAATTTTTACGCAAAATCGGTTTTCAACAAAATCAATTCTGGTATTTGGCGTAACACCATGTCAAAAATGACTATAAATATATAACGTATTCACTAAATGTTTATATTAGCATTTTCAAACGTACAATAAGTATATAGAGCCTCCAACGAAACTCTAAATTGAAAATTTATAGTGTTGCTTCAGCAGTAAATCAGACCACCCTATCTAACCTAACCCACGGCAATGTGCCAAAGCTATACTCTGCGCCACGAGACCTAACATGTAGTTGCCACTGGAGCACTAAACAATTAATATAAGCACGATATGCCCAAGTTAAATATAATTTCGTTTAATTCATCACTTTCAGAACACCAAAAATGCTTCACTCTTTAGCTTCAATAGTGGTGTCTGGAAAAAAAATTGTATTTAATGGAAACCTACAAAAAACTTGCAAATTGTTGTGTATTTATTTATTTATTAATTAATTAGTTTACGGAATAAAAATTCCTTATTTAGTACAGCACACAAMAATAATRCAATAATTTAACATAAYTAACATTTACAAKGGGCGATGGCCCAAAAAAAGAAAAAAAAWACAGCAAAATTACAGGTACAATAAATATCTATAAATTATAATAATTAGGACACAACTAAAATTATATACATGATATAACAAAATAATAAAAAGATACAACAAGGTCAACAACACTAAATTAAGGTGAACAAGCAAAGGTAGGGTCATCGTTACCCAAACGCATCATGTGGTCAATTGATTTGTTTTTACCGTAATTGGTGCAATGGAAAGGTACTTTAAAAGGAGCTCGAGATCTTGTGGAACGATGTGGAACTTTAAAGTTTACTTGTGCGAGCAGTGAAGGGACATTTATAGAACCATCGATTAACTTTCCCAAAAATCCTAAGTTAGCTTTAACGTGCCAGTCTGCTAAGGATGTAAGGTTAAGTGCGTACAATACTGGAGCATAGACACGAGGAGGATGCACAATATTTAGCATGTATGCTGCGGACAATAAAAAACGCCTCTGAACTCGCTCTAAGTGGTAAGAATCAATTACCACAAATGGGTCCCAGAGCACAGATGCATATACTCTAGTAAGCTTCGGACTAAAGAGCAATAGACAGTCTTGAGAGATCCAGACAGTTTGAACTCTTTCATGGTGCGCATTATGAAGCCAAGTGACTTGAGGGCTTTATATAGGTATTCATAAAAATATTAACGTCCATACCTATAAATTATAAAGTTATAACTTAAAAGGTTTGAGAATCGAACTCGAGGTTCCTTATACTTATTAATAATTTTTACATTTAAATTTAAAACTCAGCATACAACATACTGTGTGATGTACTGATGTGGTGCATAGGTATTTATAATGAATTATTTTTTTTCGATTATATTGACGAAATTGGATACTGTAATACCACATACCACTAACCAGTTATACCTAGTTTATTAATTGTATTGTATAATAACTTATATAAGCTATTGTATCTTAAAGTATAAACACTCAAACAAGTAATAACAATCATATTTTAAATTATACATCGATTTATTCTCAGACTCAACATCACTTTGAAATTAATAGATATATATGAACCAGTAAACCATGAACTTCTTAGTAGTTTGGTCGCAAGATAAATTAAATTTTATCTTTTCTGTAGTTTGCCAATCCGATAAAAAGATATTTATCTCATTTCTTAGTAGATCTTGGTTTGGCGCCTACGACCTACCAGACTCTAATTAGTAATTAGTATTCAAGGTTATTCTTACTATATACTTACTTAAAGTATCAAATAACCTTATTTTCTGGTACTTGTCCTATTATATTATGAACTTTTAGGTTTTTTTCAATTGCCATATTATCATCGTAGAACGGTTTATTGGTTCTAGCATCGATAAATACAATTTTAATAATAATTATACAATTATAATTAAGACAGTTGACACGATTTAAGAGGACGCTACACAACCTTTTGTTGTCTCTGTTTTATAAATGCATAATATTGCAAATTTACGCTCAGCATATCACGTTTAACTCTGTTAGTTTACAAATTAGAGTAAAACGACTTATTATGAAACTTGATGTTGACAACATTATTTGTATTTGTATGTGGGTTGTTTACGATAGTTCAATTTTGCAGCAAGTTATACGAATATAAAAAGGCGTAAATTATAAATACTCATGACTCACTTAAAAACTAAGTTATCGTAAAAAACCCACATACAAACAAAGATAAAGATGGTCACCGTCAAGTTAGTAGGTGGATTTACTTAAATTTTTCAACTAATGGGATTAAACGTGATCTGCTAAGTGTAAATTTGATATATTACGCACTTGTAAGACAACAAATCTAATGGGTGTAGCGTACAGCAGATGGTTACTCAACGCAGTATAGGATTTTTGTCTCCAAAATGATGCCCACTGTGTATCCCCAAAAATCAGTTGTTCATCATTGGAAGAATCACAGCTAAATCTAGATGCACTATATTACAGCTATTTAGCTATGATATTCTATGGTTATAAGTTATAGAAGTGTTATAACTTATAAGTTATAAGTTATAACACTTGTAAATATTTTATGGAAATGAAAATAAATAGTAATATATTATTATATATAATAATATGGTTCATGAACAATGAACATATAATAAACCTCATAAACATTATTTAACTATATTAATTTCCGCTTGAGCGCTAGTAGAAATTCTCGCAGACGGTAATCAAGGATAAACGCCGGCAATGGACATCAAGTAGACAGTGTTGTAGTCATCTGCACTCATCAACAATAATGCCGCTGCCGTATTGAGTAACCACTAACCAGTGTCCAATGTCCAGTAGCCTGCGCAGCGCCAGCTGTATATATTAATATATTATTATCTAATATCGTGGTACTATTTTTTTTTTTAATAAAATACTATTGTTCTATGATACTAGATAGTGTAATATTTTTCATATTATGATCTAAAGAGTTTCCAATAATTTGGCAACAACGCACATCATATTGCCATATTGGAAACTTTTCTGTTTAATTTTGATAAGGATTTTTTCACCCATAATTTTATTTATCATTTAATATTTTAAATTTTAAGAGCATTAATAGCTCTCATGACTAGCCAATGTTCGCTCTCAGTCGAAAATTACTGCACTTTGTATCTTTAGTACAAATAAGCAATATATCTAAGTGTAGTTATCGAACAAGTAGTTATAATTTTACAACATTTTCTGGTCCTAGATTCAAAATGTCAGAGGTGGAAAAATCTGCAATCGCTACTCCTGGCGGTGATACAATTTTTGGTAAAATTGTTAGGAAGGAAATACCATGTAATTTCATATACGAAGACGATCTTGTAAGTGTAACTAGTGAAGTAGTAATATTATGTTATTAATATGATAAATTAATAAGATTAACTGTGTATCAGTGTATCTACATCACTGTATTTATAGCTATTTACTACTTATGTTTTTAGTACTTATCTACAGGTTACTATTGGCAATGAAAACAACTCTGTTAGTAGCTTAAAAAGAAATATTTTTTAAAAAGTATTGTCAATAAAAAAGTTGTCCTTCATTTATTATTTGGTAAATGAAAATTTCTTTTTTATATAGTTTTTCACAACATAATACTTTTTTGCTTTTGTGAATAGTTTCCGTGATAAACCATTAAAGAATAAGTCTTGCAAGCAATCAAATATCTTATGTAATAATCGTGGAATTTTTTGTTTGGACATAAAACGTTTTCCCCCATTTCAAAAAAGTGCATATTTTTCTAACACTTTAATTTGAAATTCTCTGCAATTGCTTATCTATTATAAAATTCAAATACAAAAGATTTAACTAAGTTTCCTAATAATATAATATTTAAAATGACAAAACATTAATTTCATTTATTATACTTGTTATTCAATTTATTCAAATAATTATTACAATACAACCACAACTTATAGACAAAAATCCATTWAAAAATTTAGAGGGCTATGATTATTATTGTGAACTAAAGCCATGAGAAGCTTTGTCCCCTTCACCCCTTTAATAATTTTTCTTTTTTTATTAGTGTGTTGCATTTCATGACATCAATGCTCAAGCACCTGTTCATTTTTTGGTAATACCGAAGAAACCAATTGAAATGTTATCTGCTGCTGACAGCTCTGATGAAACGGTATTTAACTTKGATAATTAAAACATATATTATTACCATTATACTCATAGGCGAAACTAGAAAATTATATTAGGACATGGCAAAATGAAAAATATGAAAAAAAATTTTAATTATAAAATAAGTTTTTAGTTAAATTTTATTATATCAGTATATTATCCTTTAAGTATTAAGTCAGGCCATGTCCTTAGTGGCCTGATCCGTAGTTTCGCCTATGATAATACTTTATCCCCTTAAAAATTTCTAAAATGTACCTTCAGAAATATATTAAAATAATAATAAAARATATTTTTGATTTCAGTTACTTGGTCACTTAATGTTGGTAGCAAGCAAAGTAGCAAAAGAACAAGGATTGAATGATGGTTTTCGTTTGGTAGTTAATAATGGAAAGGATGGGGCTCAATCAGTTTATCATTTACATTTGCATGTTCTTGGTGGTCGCCAACTAGGATGGCCACCTGGCTAATTGTTGTTAATGTTAATGTTCAATTTAATATTTATCTAATATGATAAAATATATTAGAATTTAACTGGGTCAATTAAAATTATTTTGTTGCATTTGTCTTGATATAATAAATGATAAATATTTGAAAAATAGGTTATTACATAATATAAACAAATATATCCAAATTCAATTTTACGCAAATACTCAATTTTTTAACATAAATGTGTTTTTGAGCTGGATACATGAAAAAAATATRATAGCAAATTTTTCATTAAATTTTTGTTAGCATGGATACTTAATAATAAAAACATATTAATTATTCATAAATTTTCCTTAAAGAAGAAAAATATTTAATAGTCTGCTATGATTTTTAACTTAAGTTTCATCTAATGTTAGTACAGCTAATAAAAAAGTATTCATTATAAYTATGTTAAAATAGTTTACATATATTTCTATTCAAATTATACAATTTAGTTTTAATTTGCTTAAAATATTTGGTAATATTATGATTTACTAACGTCTCTATGATTCAGTTAATATAATAACTTAAAATAAATTATGGATTTTTTCAATAAAATATCTCTCGTTGTTATAATCAATATTTTTATACTAATTTAATATTAAAAATTAGTAATTACAGAAGTAGGTACATAAAAACATACAAATTTAAAATTATTTATTACACACATAATTTTTTTATAAAAAATTATGAACATGAGTGTCACAAACCCTCAGGAGACCGTGAACTACAGTTTGTAAAACCACTGGCCATAAACAATAGCATTAATAGTGATTATCCAATGAAACTCCGTTTATAACATTAGCAAATAACTTTGTATGAATGATATATAATATTAATTTTTATGCTGAAATATTTTATGTAGTAGCAAATAAATATAGCAGAGACTTAACAAACTGAAAAATTTCTGATCCTCCTAATTTAGATTCCCCATAAACTCTGTCTACAAAGGTTATTGGAACTTCACCAATAGTATAATTTAGTTGCCTTGCACGTACCATCATCTCCATTTGGAAAACATATCCTTTTGATATACATGATTCTATCAGTTTTTCCAAAACTGGCTTTTTATATAATCTGTAATCAATATACATTTTTAAATGTACTACCACATTTTTTTAAGCATTTGATATTATATAAAAAAAATAGTACCTAAAACTACCAGTAAGATCAGACACTTTGGGCCTCAACAATATTTGGCTAACAAAATTAGCACCACGACTAACTAACTTTCTTTTAAAATCCCAACCTGAGACTCCTCCATTGCCAATATATCGTGATCCAGTAACAACGTCATAATCTTGTTCAGCTTGTTTTATTATAAAATCCAGTATAAATTTTGGCTAAAAAAATGTAGATATAATGAAATACAAATAAGTAATAAATCTAATGAATTTTAACTTACATGATGTGACAGATCAGCATCCATTATAATAATAAAATCCCCGGTGGCATGTTTCATTCCATGAATATACGCAGTGCCTAAACCAAGTTTTTTTCCTCTGGGTCTTAATAACTTAACAAGATTTATGATTAATTAAGGTTTATTTTAAAATCTATTTATGTCTTACAATTTTATCTTTTCCATATATAGTTTCAAGTTGTTTGGCTACTTCTAAAGTTCCATCTGGACTGCCATCGTCAATAATAATAATTTCATATTCTATCTCACTATAACCAATGGTATCACAAATTATATATCATAAGAGAATTGGAAAAATTTTAATAAAAATAATAATTCTCTAGGCTATTTTAGAATTTAAGAATTTAGATTAAAATTTAAATACACAAACTGTTAGTTTGTAAGATTCTGAGCTAAGTAATGAATATCATAATTTTAAATGTGTTTTTTGTGGGTATGGTCACCACCTTTAAGAGCTGGTTTCATAGTTTAAAACATCTATAGATTTGAATAGGGATCTGGAATTATTGATAACACTCATAATTTGTAGATGTGAATGAAAAATGATCATGCTAAAATTATTATTAAAGAAATAKTTCATATTTATTTAGATATTTGCATTTAATACTGAATTTATATTTCTGAAAAATGTAGGAATTTAATCTACATTTAGTTATATGTACTATACTACTATACATAATTATATCAGTTTATTTAATTTAATTATACATATTATACAATAAGCTCCTTAAGTGTATGAATGAAAAACAATTTTCAAATATGCACAAGGTTCATCACGAGTAATTGTCATCTCTAAGCACAAACCTATTAACAATAGCATTATTAAAATACTAGTATTTATGATTAATGTAATATATTTAATAAAATGTTATCTTTAATATTATAACATAATTGATTAGAAATAGTATCTTATTTTATACATTATAATATGTACTAAATAAATATTACCTAATTTCCAAGTATTTGTGGATTAAATAAACTATAACAGGTAAATTTTCTTTTTCATTATACGTCGGCAGTAAAATTGAATACTTTAATGGCATCTTGTAAAATATTATTTTGTATTATTAAACTATAGTAAAAACAAGAAATAAAAATTCATATATTATGCTCGACTACCTATATTGTCATTGATGACCTCACTAATATTTAATTCAAGTATATAACTTACAGCAAGGTGGATACAAGACGTACACAACTATTAATTATAGTCTATAATTTATTGTTGACGAATGTCGATTCACTCGATTCGGTTTTAATATCTTATCTCTATTCTACGTACACATAAATACATAATAGGGCCCGACGTGATCCGTGGCCGCAAAGAATTTCTCTGTTATCAACACGGGGCATTGTATGTTTTCAGCGCTACCGGTGGTTTTGTTTGGCGTCATATTTTCAGATATTAAATATGTTGCCGCCGTTTTTAAAAAGGGTTATTATTAATAATGTTTTAATATTTACTGTTTATTATACAGTTATCTTTATGACTTTATTTTCTTTTTAATCAATGACATTAGTGGTACCTGCTTTAACGGTGACGTAACTGGTACTTGGAGTTCCCGTGGCAAAATTAGCCTTAATCTTACAAATTTGTAACATGAAGAGCATGCACTTACTTATACAATTTATATTTAGATCCACTATAATAGGTAATAAATAATTTTTTTTATTTTAGCCATTAGTTTAATTCATATTAATAATTAAATTTATAATTAATWAGAGGACGACGTCACGTTCGAAATTGTGTAATCAGTAGTACAAACGAACAACATARCGAAAACTAATTTGCATGCTGAAAGAACCGAGAAGGCTATAACGCTACAAGTCATCATAGCTATAAGAAAAAGTGTTCATATACTATGAAGAGGAGAACATTTGCCGAGTAAATTTGTTTTTATTTTTTTTCGATATCTCAAGTACAAAAAAAAATTAATTAGCTTTGTAGTAATGCATTTTTGAACAATAAGTACTTTTTGATTTATTGATTGCAATATTCATGGAGACTTCCACACGACGCTATCGATCCAGGACACATAATTAGATACCCTCGTGTAGACTCCGGGTGCGTTTGGCTCACCACAAAGTCTCCCAAACGACGTAATACCCACTTGTGTATACATACACTCGAATTTGGGATGAACGATCTGTAATGGTCCACCTGAATCGCCCTAGACACATACAATATTCAAAAAATCAATCACAAAACGATTTTTAAGATTTTCTAAGATTCAATAATAGGAATCGATTTAGGAGGAATGACAGGTGAACTAAACATTTTTTGTTTGCGAATAAATGAGAATCACTAATTGTTATGACGATATAATGTCAATATGTCATACTGTCATGTGCAGAAGCTTATAAACAAACAAATAAGTATTAATAGTATTGTACGCTATAATAGTTAACAATTAAACAAAGATGTACCGCAATTACTTTGAAATGGAATGTTAAATATTTTTGAATTTGGGAGTAATCCACTTTAGCTGGTTTCAAGATCTCGTGTGAGGAGGATGTAGAGGTAAACTTTGTCCGAAGAGGGAAGTTAAGTTTCAAGATACTATAGATACTATACAATCAATGAAATTTCAGAAGTGAATTAAATTATAATTTAAGTTGTGTACAAGTGTACTTAACGTAAGATTCGTTATAAAGGTTACAAAATGTATAAGACTATTGACACTTTGACAGGTGCACAATTTGGTACTACAATTTCAGAGTACATAAAAATATAAAATCATAGTCCATATAGATTTAGACTACAAAAATCTATGAATCTATGATGGTATAATCCTGTAGTATGTACTATTTTAATCCCACGGATTTTTTGAGCTAAAATTAATTTACAAATAAATCATCCTGGTTCATTAAAATTGTGCCTAATCAATAAGTTCCATAATAGATATTCCTAATTATTTAAATAGTATTTTTGTACTTGACACGTATCCTTGCCACCTTCTAGTTTTCCGGCGCAAATCTGATTGTTGGGATTTATTCCAAATTCCAAATTTGGACTCAGGGAAGACGAATAACTGCGATTGCAGTCATTTTGTTCCACCAAATCTAATGATACTTTCATTAAAATATTACTCGTTTGACTAGCTGAAATTTCGAAATCAAACCAAGTCATTAGTTCATAAATCAGCTTAAGCTATGAAGCCAATTCAAGTCCAAAATGTAAAATAAAAATTTGCTTTAATATTATTACACTACCACAATATACTAATAGAAAAGTTGATTAGTAGAAACCATACTATTATTAATTAATGATTATGGAACTAAAAGTATTTTAATCATAGATATTTATGTAAAATTAATTCAAACGTATTAAAAGTATAGTTTTATCGTAAACTTACAAGTAATATTATTTTTGGCATACAATTTCATAATAAATAAATTTTGTTTTTGAAGTTATACTTATCGATTATGGAGGGTAACAAAAAAGAAAGACGTTCACTATAGATTTGAGCGTAGCCATTGATAACTGTGTCCTATAACATCTATATTTATTGAACCTTCTTTTTTGTTACCCTCCATAAAGAAGTAGTAAGTTTAACTTAAAAAAAAAAAATTTAAAAAAATATTAATAAATCGAAATATTGATAGATTCAAATTCAATATCACATTATCACATAAAACAAAACGATATSGATATTCAAAAATATAATATATCGTTGAAGAAGCCTATAAGATTTATTCTTCATATTTCTTATGGAACAATGCATTATTCAATATTCATCAATACACAACTTCGAAAGAAGTATAGCTTCATCCACGAGTACTTGCCACACGAACATATTTTTTAATTAAAATTTTAAACTACTAGAACTTTTATTCAGATGATGGACGAATGGACCTCAAACATGCAACTAGGTACCTATGTAATCAGCTAATTTAACACATTGTCTATATTTATATACTTTTGGTTTTTCAGCTGCATATGATATGCAGCTAGGTATCAACCAATTAAAAATAACTTTAAATATTTTACACAATAATATTTTTAAGATTACAAAAAAAATATATAAAACCTGAACTAGTTCTTCCCCAACCAATGGCGATTGCTTGTTTATTGGTTAGTTCTACTTCGGTGTTTACACAAGCCGGAAAGATAAATTGATTGAAATGGACTGGTGTTCTTAGCCGGTACAGACCGATGTCGTTGTACATCGATGGAGGTTTATAATTTGGATGCAAGATGCGCTGGATGATTTCACGAATTTGAGGATCTGCAGCTCCTTTGTTAGAACCTAAGTCGTTGTCACCTAATAAGGCCCATTTAACTGGGCTTCTAAAGTAAGAATAAACATTGTATAGTTAAAATTTACTTTAAAATATATCATCTAATATATTAATAAATTTATGTTGTACTGTTTCGTGGTGATTTTATTGGTTTGGAGCGCTCCGTAATAATTAAGTTTTGCTTTAAAAATATAGTTTAGGTATAGTAAACTATAATAATACAAGTAAATAAAACCCTTTATATTGGTAACTACGTAAAAAATATGATGTTGTTCTCGCTCCATTCAAAAAACAACGAATTAATATTTTTGTATTTCAACCCTGCAGTAGTAACAGGAACAGCGCTAGGATTTGCGGGGCCCCGGGCAAAATAAATAACAGTCACATTACATATTACCCAAACTAACTAATCTCTGAACAGTATAAAATATAATTTAAGAACTGCGGGGCCCGGGGCAACTGCCCCGATTTCCCCCCCCCCTCGCCCCGTCCATGAGTGAATTAATTACAACAATGCATGTATATCTGTATGCCCAAAACAATGAATATAAATACATGTCGAGTAAAGAAGTTATCTACACATTGTGCAGTACTTACTTTTTTCCAATTTCGGAACAGTGTGCAGCTGAAAGAACATAACGATCGCTAATCAATGATCCACCGCATGACCATTCGACATTTTTTATGTTTTCTCCAAATCCTAAAATAACCTGAATATTTATGACTAATTATTACAAACATAACATATTAATTCCATTTGTCAGTCATTATTTGAGCCTTGGGGATAGCAATGATATGGAATGTTCGATATGTAAATAGGTGATTTAATAATTTAGTACCTATAGGAGTACTGCAGGTAAACGATAACAGTAGAATTTATTTTATTATGCAACGATAATATTGCCTGCAGTATGACAAAACCGTTTGGAATATATTGTGCAGCTCTTATAAAAATAAAAATATTACCCGACAATATTTATACGTTGTTTTTGTACCGTGGTAGTTCRTAAAGACGTTGAAAAAATGTATGATATAGGTATAAGTGTATATTTGGTATATAAACATTTTAAAGCATTAATGATTATAGAATTCCGAGTATGAATTGGCGTATACCATATCCACGGTATAAATTAAAATTGTGATGACTGACGAGATGAACACATTTAAATCACTATCAATATTGTATGTTATACTTGATTTATATTTTGAATTCAAATAAGGTACTTGCCATGTGAGGAAATTCCATTTCTTCGGCCTCGGTTCCGCCGACGATGGTTAGAAGATTTTTGCTTACAATCTTTTTCGGCCGACAACCGCCAGAATCGATAGTTCCACCGCCTTTAGTAGTCAACGAATAGTATTCTCTGCACACTACACGAAATGGATGTTATACTATATATAGTTGGTATCAAAATTTAAGTGTTGATGCCGGTAATAATAAATAACAAAAATGATATTAATAATGACAATGTTTCACTCGCTTTCGGTTGAATTTCTACTGGGGGCGTCTTGAGAAGTTGGACAGCACACGATCGGAGTCCGTCCGTTGAACCTGCAAATCTTTGGGTACGCCGCATGGTCTTTAGCCGCACGAAGAACCACCGGACATTGGTTGATAGGCTTACACGTGAAATCGTTGTTGGTCTTGGTGATCACTTTGCACAGTTCGTCTATGTATAGATAAACAATAATTGAAATAAAATTATATAAGAAATGTGCTAATTCCAAATATTCAATCTCACTGTCTTTTTGATCCAAGGAATGCGCATCGGCGAAGAACGTAAAAACTAAATACCATACTACTGCGCGTTTCGACATGTCCAGAATGAGAAAACGCATACACAAAATGATTGATCATAGGTACTGTAAGCGAATCACAAATAAACGAATGACTTATGGACTACGGTTGAATAATAATACATATAAATAGGCAATAATGTGTGCTCCATATAACTGTTGCAGTTTTTAATCAAAACGTAAGGCATTCCGAATTAATCTCTGTGAACAGACCGGTTTGCCTAGCTTATAACATCGAAGAAGTGTTCGATTGGATTTATTCAATATATCCTCCTTTTGCAATACAATGATTATTATTACATGTCATATTATTATCATTGTAAACAGAAATTGTTTTACTATATACACGAAGTCCTTGGTTTTTTTTTTTATGAGATGATTTAAGACACCATTTTCCTAGAAATCACATAACGCATCGTACTGTAACGCATAATATCGAGTATTGGTACAGAAAACAGAGCTTTTGGACCATTATTATAATTGTTTTATTTTACTTCGAGACTAGTGTCCATGGATTTACCGCTTCCTGATTTCCTTTAATTGTAAATTGTATAGATTTTTGACACAGTTATTTGAGTTGCTCTATGTAACAAAATATAAAATACATGTTTCATATAATCATATTATGATCTTATATACTCTGTCATACATCCATTCATAAAATTAGTAATTACTTTTCTCTGTAACTATAGACATCAATATATAAATAAAACAAGCGGGCAAGTAGATGTCGCTCTGCTGTACAGTAAGCTTACAAGTGAGTTACCGTAATGGATGGTATTAAATTTGAATTCAATGATATTTTATCATTGCATACGAAAAACGATTCTGAGCGGAGCAGTTTGCCAGTCTAGGATATTTTATAGTTATATACTATATTAATTATATTGCTATTATTTCAAAAATAAAAAAATGTAAGTACCTATATAAAATAAATTCCAAATTAATCAATCAGATTCATTATGTACCTACCCGACTCACTCAATCATTCATAGTAGGTAATAGGTAATATACAATTTATTATAAAGTATTAATATAAATCATTATAACGGCATTAACTAGTAATATTAGAATATAAAGTATACTCTAGAAATTTTAAGTACCCAACCCAAGAATAATATTTTTAAATTTCAATAAAATATCTAAAATTGTTATTCTTGGTTATTTAATATGTAATTTAATCCAAATTTGAACTTAAAATGATAACTATATAAAAAAAAAACTATGTTTGTATAGTTTTTAGATTATTTTGCCGCAGAATTAACTATACTTGCGCAGAACCTTGTTTTAAATTTTCAAATTCTTAACTATAAAAGTTAAACGTTTTATACATTTTTAACAGCCAAAGAATTTGTAAATTTTCAATTAAATAAATTTTGTCAAAATTTGAACTTTACTTGGTATAAAAAAAATTGTGACGATGTATTTTTAATATTTTTTAATTATCGTAATAATAGTATATTAGGAGCCTTGCATTAAATTTGGGGGCTTTTTTACAAAAATAATGATATTTTACTATCATTTATAAAAGAAAAAACTAAAAGGATTAAAAATTTTAAATGTCTATAATTAACTTAAAAAGATTTGAAATACTTTGAAAATTTTATCAAGTGTAGAAAATTCTAGTATTTCTAGTAATTCAGTAAAAATTTCATGTGTTTACGGTGATTTGTTTTAGAGTTACGTCAATATCAAAATTTGATTTTATGTAAAAATTACCGTTTTCCTTAATTTTTTTTTGTTTTTCCCGGAACTACTGAAAAATTCAAAATTTTACCTCCCTAATGCACCAACTAGATTCACTTTTAAATCGGAAAAGCTACTGAAGGTAAAAATCGAAACATTATTTTGACAACGTATCATGTACATACTACACAGACACAAAAAAAACACACACATACATCATTGTAAAATCAATACATCGTTTTGCTCCGAATCTACAAGTACTAGTTTTTTGTGAGTTAACTATGACGTATACTCATAATTTTTGGGTTGTAACCAGGACTGTGTACAGTCTTCATAAATTGAATTTAATTTGATTAAAAATATAATGTATAAAAACAATATTTTTTTTCGTAACACATCTGAATATCTGATGAAGATATTCGTAGGTAACTTTGAAAGATCCGTCGTTATAGTGTTTTATTTTTATGTGTGGAATTTTAAAATAAGTATCATATGTATTTTATTATTTATTGGTACTAATCAAGACATACTTTGGCGACGAGATAAGAATTAAAGCTAATAAAAACTAATTACTAATTAGGTATTAACTATATCGTTAAACAAACAATAGAAACTCAAATAAAATACAGGTATAATTCCCATTAATGCATAAAGCGAATAAATCGTTTAGTTTTATTTTAAATGACCGTTAATATCAAAATAAAAAAATTGGATTAGTTGCTTATTTTATCTAATATCCAATCCATGTAAGAAGTTACTCTGGTGTACACGCCCGGATGACCTGGATCGCCGCATTCCTTAAAACCATAAGAAACAATACCAATCAAATAAAATTGATTTCTCTTTGACCAAATTAAAGGACTTCCGGAATCACCCTAAAACAAATTGGAATAAAATATAATATTTAACATATTTTTATTTTTTAACCTTCATCACAACTGCAAAAATAAAATAAACTAATACCCGACAAGAGTCTTTTCCGCCTTCTGGATATCCTGCGCATATCACTCTGTCATCAATCACGCTTTTATAATTTGAATATGCCTCTTTACATTCTGTTGTGTTCGATATAGGAATTTGAACTTCCATCAAAGACGTTGAAGTCTTCTCATCTAAATCAATGTAATGCTGGTTTTTACAAGCATTAAGTAGCTGGTTTTTACAATCATTAAGTAACCATTAATTTCACTGCATATGAGCTAGTATAGCCACAACATAATATATAATATAACGAGCTTATTTATTAAAATTTATTTTAAAAAAAACTTTTTTTGTTAACCGCCCTTAATTAATAGATTTTTTTTTGATAACAGTCAATTTATTTTCTGAATGTGTGGTTTAAAAATAGTATAGTGAAGTTCTCTATATTATAATATTATACGTTTTCCAAATAAAAATAGTGTATTAGGTAAACTAATTTAAATGTATATTTTTTATTGATGAATTATTTAAATTAAATAAAAGACCAAACACTATTTACTACTGATACCAAATGTGGTTTAAAAAATATTAAATAGATACCTAAATTTATTATACTATATTCAGAAATAAATCATTTCTATTTAATTCTATAGTTGATACAATATTTTTATTACCTTTTTGAGGCGAAGCAGTGTTACTTCCCCAGCCGACAACATATGGTATATTTTTTGATTTTTCGACATTGTTCATATCCAATAATGTCGGTAAGCAAATAGGTTGGATCAATTCTGCAAAAATAAACGAATTGTTCATAAATAATATAATAATATATAAATATTAAAAAGAAGATATATTCTAATACATTTTTATAGACAATATGTAGTTAGTATTTTATTTGATGCGTGTTTTGTCTTGTTATGTATAATTAATTAATTTTATAATATTTACTATAGTAATAATTWGGGTTCGGAAGTTATAAGAGTTGCATATTGTTCTGTATGCTGTCAAATTATAGCAGACCAAGCTAGAAATCTGATCTATACAATGTTGAGTTTAAAAATTGAAAATTAAAAATGCATATTTTGCATATTTCGATAATTTTAGAGAAAAAGTGCATATTTCATCGATTTTCATTGATTATCGCATATTTGTATGTATATTTAATATTTTCTACAAAAATTTAATTTTTTTTCATTCTTAACCAATTTATTTTAAATAATGTTACATAACACAACGCTAGTAAAGTGAAAAACAACAGGTATTATTCAACATAATATATTTATGTCGTATTTCACAAATAATGAAAATATATTTATTTAACTATTCTTTCAGTTCAATAAAATCTCAAACGCCAACCGGTAACGCGCCATATTTATAATTTTTTTTATATAAAAATTACATCAAAGTTTTAAATAATAAAATTTTGTTAAATATATGTCTTTAGAATTTTTTTTTGTGTATATTAATAAATAAGTAACACACTTTTAATAGGTAAATAAATACATTTTTTTTGCATATTTCACATTTTTTCATGCATATTTTATAATTTTTTCTTGCATATTTTGCCTTTTTTTGCTACTATACCTAACTTCCGAACCCTAGTAATAATGTAGAGATAAATAAATCTTGAATAACATAATAGACTTTTGTTATGGTTATATCTATAATGATTGACAGGCAATATCAGAYGATACAAAAATTATATCAGATGATATTTTTTAACTCACCATTAAAAGTAACACTATTTTTCAATACCAATATTGCAATGTTATTGATGATTTTTTTTGAATCGTAACCCTCGTGGTTTATAATACGTTTGATCGGAACATCTAATGGTAGTGCCCCATCATCGACTTTGGGATCCAAATCCAACTCACCTAAGCGTGCAACGGTTCTGTAAAAAATAAAAATAATAAATTAAACAAAGATACTTATTTATCAATTCTTTACAAGTGTTACGGCAAATACATTTTATTAAAATTAAAATTACACATTTGAACAGAAGTTGACAACTATATGAACTAATTTGATTTAATATGATTTGCCTACTTACAAAACTTTTGGCCCAGTATTGGCTACACATGTGGAGGCAGTTAAGATGTGTGTGTTGGAAATTAATGTACCACCACAATGCCACTCAATAGAATTATTATTTCTTTGTGAATTCTTGTATCCCAGGGCTACCATCCAAGGCCAAGCACCTGAAACTCGTCATTATTCAACAAAAATATAGATTAGATCATTAAATTATATCCTAAATAATTTCAGATTATGATAGTAGTAGGTATCTAAGTATAATTTAAAAACGATTTAGCTGAAATCTATGGTTATAACTTATAAGATGTTTTTACCTAATTGGGATTCACTTCCTCCAACTATTCGAAAGTTTAGGGCCAATCTATTGCCACATGTGGTTTGTGCTGTAAGTTTAGACGCAGTAACATTGCCCTTTTCTTTTATAACATTTTTATCCTTTGGTTTGGTTGACGCGAACTCCAAATTATAAGCGGTTGATTTCGGTTGATCCGTTGATACAGTTGAATCTGAAAATTTGACACATAACAAGAATTTACAGGATTTTATCTGACCTCTAAGTTTTGGATACCTTATGATTATTATACATATATGCAGGGTGATTCTTTTAAGTGGGTACACTAATTATCTCGAAAAGTATTTACTTTTTTCAAAATATTTTTTTACATGGYTTCAAVWTGTYAAAAAACCAACGTTTTTATTAAAAAATTATATTTTTAAATATTTTTTATCCTTATCATTTTTAAGTTTTTTACTTTTTTGAATGACAACATAGAGTTTTAATTTCATATTCCAAAGCAGAATATTTTTCBAAGTATTTTGATTCATAAAAATCGAATTTAGGGCTCGAATTTTTGAGTTATAAGTATTTAAAGTTTAGATTGCCAGAGTGGAGTGGTACGGGGTTACTCCGCAAAATTTTTTTCCACTACTCCGCTTGACTAAACTTTAAATACATATAACTCATAAACTACTCGTCCTAAATTCGATTTTTATGAATCAAAATAATTAGAAAAATATTCTGCTTTGGAATATGAAATTAAAACTTTATGTTGTCATTCAAAAAAGTAAAAAACTTAAAAAATTATAAGGATAAAAAATATTGAAAAATACAATTTTTTAGTAAAAATGTTGGTTTTTTAACAGCTTAAAACCATGGAAAAAAATTTTTTGAAAAAAGTAAATACTTTTAGAGATAATGAGTGTACCCAATTAAAAGAATCTCCCTGTATAACATCATAGTGTTATCAGAAAATGTGTTATGGGTGTTAAATATTAAGTTAATGATGTGTAGTACGTAAATTATAAAACTACTGAAATTTTGCTTGATCCCGGAGTATTTATAAATCAGTTATACTATGCGTATATATAGTCATTCGGGAATGAGATCGGGATCTAGTAGAAGACAGAGATAGATGGCAGTATGTTTATTCAGATACATAATGGTTTTGGCTCCTAGTTGGTACAGTTTTTACAAACATTTTTGTGTGTCGATTTATATATGTTATTATTAGTTACCTATTGCCTTCTTATTATATAAATTTAATTATTACCTAATAATTTTCTATAATAATTAAACATCCATATAATATCGATTATCGTACCTAATCATAATGGGGAGGTTATTTTTTGAAGTTTTCAATTTAGTTACATTTAGAAGGACCATAATACCAAACGACTGTTAATCAAGAATCATGAAAAGTGACCCACGTTCCTTTTAAATATTAAAATATTAATTATGTTTTAGATATTAACTACTTATAAGCATTGTTTCTATGAACTATAAATTTATAGTTAGTGTTTTTTTATTGATATCTCGGAATCATGTCCATTTGCCCATTAAGAATTTGTTATTTTTTTTTATAAAGGTGTTACAGTATTGGTGTGCACGCAGGGTGACTTTTTTAATTCCTTGATTTTTATGTTGTRAACTATAATATTTACAATACTATAATGTATATCTAATATACCTATATATTATCTATCTAGGTATAACATTGTTATCATAACAAACATTTCATGATATTTAATTATGTCATATGAATCTTAATGATTTTATATTTATTCCTTATAAATTATGTAGCAGATAAACATCCTAAAATGAACTATATTCGTATTACAAAAAATGTTAAAATGTTTGCCACTGATAAATAATTGTATAAACTATTGTATATTTTTATGACTTTAGCAATAATAAAGAAATCAAACTTTACTTTTTAACTCGTTCTGTTAAAAATAGATGATTATCAAAATATATTTAAAAATTATAAAATATATCACAATTTTATATTTCTTTACATCTTCAAATGCTAAAATATTACTTACCGTTATGGGGCAGAGACGTTATCATTTCAATCATGAGAGTCACGAAAACAAAATATTGTTCTTTCCTCATGTTAACACTGTAAATGAAAACGATTTCTATTAAATATGAAGTATAACTATTAAAACCTATACCTAATTAAAAAACTAAGACCATGTATAATGTATACGTATAGACTGCTTAGAGTCCGGGGTTGTTTTATAAGGAAATTACATATTATATAGCATAATTACTAATCGAGTCCTGTGAAATCATTTAAGTATAAATCCCATAGTCGTGTCTACGCCTCTACGGGGTAGCAGAGTGGGCATCGGCCTCCCCAGTGACTTGATTCTTGGCCTCTTGGCGTATAATCTACCGTGGTTGAAACACAGATTTCTATATGGTTAGTAGTGCTATATAATTTCCATACAAAAATAAAAATCACAAATATAGATTGTAAAATACTGATCGTTATAGTAGGTAAGTAAAAATTTAAATTTTATACATGGCCTCTCCAGCCATATATATGCTTGGACACGCCTATGATAAATCCAATAAGCCCATGTTTTAATATACTAACAGATTCCCACCAAATTAAAATAAAACATCTTGCTTCTCATTTTTACAAACTTATTATGACTCTCAGTAGCAAAACATTCTACAAGTATGGTTAAAAATGTTTTTGAAATTATATTTTTGAAAAATTTTATTAATAAGTTAAGTTAATCTATGTTAGTTGTCGGTTAAACAAGGAAAAAAGTGACTAAACATTTTTAATACATCAATTAAGTTGTAATTATGTTTGCAAATACTTTTAACTAAACTTAATTTCAATTAATACGTTAAGTAAATTAAAGAAAAAAATGCATTGAAAAGAGTGATAATCACTTGGATAGTAACATACCTATGGATATATATTATCATTATTCATTGGTAATAAATACTATATTATTATACTAGTATTTATAATCAATGATATTATATATATTAAGAATTAATGACGAAATCAAATACCTCGAAAAATGTCCTATACTGTGGAATATTAATTCAAATATAAAATTAGAAAATATAGAAAATTGCATTACCTCGGTATCTAGCTTAAGTCTTTCAAGCTTCGCACTTACAGTATATATTGAGTGTATATATATATAGAGAGAGAGAGAGTTAGCTTGATAGACTTAAACTAGATACCTAGGTAATACAATTTTTCACATTTTCAAATTTTATATTTGAATTAATATTCCACAGTATAGAAACTTTTGCGAGGTATTTGATTTCGTCAGCAATTCAGAAATACACGGTGACTTTATTAATATATATATATGTATATAAGTATATGAGTAGGAATGTAGAATACAATATAAATAATAAGAATAAAGATACCCGAGTAGATTTTTCTCCTCCGTGGACGATGTAGTTTGTATTTATACACTTATCGATAGGCATCAAGTCTGTTGTCAAAATGTCAACAAGGAAAGCCAAAATCAATTAATTATAATAAAATTGTTAAACACTATCAAAATCTGCTTCGAAAAACGCCGTCTGACATGTTATGGCGGACAAACGGCTTAGTATTGTAAACAGCTATAGGCAAATCAGAATAATTACCATTTACCTCAGCACCGGAGTAGATACACTGAAATTTTGGAGGGGTGATGATACTATTTTTCTGGTTGTTAAACTCGAAATTTTAGTTTAACTACAATTAAAGATAGCTAGAGTGGGGAGGATTAATAATTTACATGATCAAAATATTACCGTGGCCATAACACCTAATAAATATTATCTTCACAAATCCACGTCGAAATTCTCTGCAGATATATTATAGGTACGACAGTATTACGATATTTTTTAAATTTTTATATATTAGTACTTCTTCCTATATACAGGGTGATTTTTTTATCATGAACCACTCATTATTTCAAAAAGTATCAATGTTTTTGAAAATATTTTTTTACWAAGTTTCATGTTGTTAAAAAAACGTTTTTATTAAAAAATTAAGTTTTTTAATACTTTTCAAGTTTTTACTTTTTTGAATGACAACCTAGAGTTTTAATTTCATATTCCAAAGCAGAATATTTTTCTAAGTATTTTGAAACGTAAAAATCGAATTTTGGACGAGTAGTTTATGAGTTTTAAAGTTTTTAAGTATTTAAAGTTTAGAGAAGTGACGTAGTGGAAAAACATTTTGCGGGGTAACCCCGTACCACACCACTCTACCAATATAAACTTTAAATACTTATAACTCATAAAGTCATAAACTACTCGCCCAAAATTCGATTTTTACATAACAAAATACTTAGAAAAATATTCTGCTTTGGAATATGAAATTAAAACTATAGGTTGTCATTCAAAAAAGTAAAAAACTTTAAAAAATATTTAAAAAACATAATTTTTTAATAAAAACGTTGTTTTTTTAACAACATGAAACTTAAAGTTTCATAACGTTTAAAGGAGAAAAAACGTACGATTTCACGATTTTATAATATTAAATAATTTCGGACGACGTTTTCTACCAGAAATATTGTTTCAAATGAAAAATGACAAGAGATCTTTTTTGCTGTATTTTGGATTTTGTTCCTTACGATTCAAAATTCAGAAATTGTAGCTATTTTTTAGCTCTTTATAGACATTTTAATTTTGGGAGTTTTTTGTTGTAATTCGGTTTAAGACATAAGTAAAAACTTGAAATCTGGGTTAATTACTTATATTATCCTTACCTAGACATGGTATGGTAACATTTTCAAAACATTTGAGCGACTGTTGAGAGCTTTTCCTTTTATTTTATATTTTTTTTTCATTTTTATGATATTTCCTAATTATAAATTGTAATTATAATTATATAAATTACCTATTTATTTAAACCGTTCTTAAGCTGTTGTTATAACGCTTTGTTTGTCACCATAGAATCGAATAAAATTAAATAAGAAAGATTCCCTCGTCCGCTTAGAATCGGACAAATATCCACCACCGAATCACTGACCTACTTTTTTTTCATACTGTAAATATCGCAATCTGTCGAAAATAAGTCTTACTTTTTTTATGATTTAATAATGATTAAACGATATAAATATTAAATACCATTATCTTGACATTACAAACCTGATTTTAATTACACATTTGTCCTTGATTTGTTGATTGTTTTATTATAAAAGTTATTTTTCTTTATACAATTTCAGGTACAGGGTGGTCGTGGTATAATAAAAAATAACATTATATCCTGAAGACTGTTTTTATAAAAATATTAAGTTAAAACGTCACTGCAATGGTCTCTCTTGGTTATTAAATTAAATTTTTTTTAAGTTCATATAAATAAAATCTTCAAGCTCTAAAAAATGTGTGAACAAGTTGTAGCACAAGTGCACAACAACTCTGCTGTTACTGCCTAGCTGTGTTGGTGTTGTGATCAAGAAAATAATATTTTCATGGAATATTATAAAATCCAAAACCTGTTWTTTATGTGTGATGTTGGCTGCAGTATACTTGGTCTTCATAATGACGTAGTACTTCAACCTTTTATTTTTAAATATTATTATATGTTATAGTAGAGTGGCCGTATATTTATAGGAAAAAAATACGGGATAAAGAAGAACACTAAAAAAACAACATCCAAAAATAAATATATTTAATACAATTTTTTTTTAATATTTAGCTACAGATGATGTTTGCTTATTAGATAAGATGTGATGTTGGAAATAGTGACGGTCGTTTCAATTCATAATGATTAAATTGTACATATAAGCCAATACCATCGTAATCTCAATAAACTGTTGGAACTCAACGCTCATTGTACAAAAACTGATGCTTATACAGTTATAAATATTAAATTTAGTTTCAAAAATTGATTATAAGGCTGTGAATATATTTTTTAGTATATTTTGTTATTGTTTTTTCGTATAAATGATTTTTCTTTCATATACACAATACACATGTAGGTATAATATTATAGAGATAGGTCACATAACTGGATGCAGCGTCACGTTTAAGTTTGTCATCGGTACAAGGAGGACATGTGAATATGTGATGCTTTAAAAAGAGACAATCCCATTTTATATGGAACATTTTATATTTATATTTTACATGATTAGCATAAACATATTAATGTATTATATACTAAGTAATTAGTCATTACTTATTAGTTATGAGTTTATGACATAATATATACATGTATTATTATCCGTCTCAAGCATCGATAAAAATTGAAAAGAACTTCTGTTCTCAAGTTAATTTAATTTGAATCAATGAATAATTATCATTAAAATTTCAAATAATAAATATTGAAAATTATTTTTATCTAAATCCAAATCCAAATTATTATTATTATGCATATTATGTCACGTAGAAGTTAAAATTATTAAAACATATAATTTGTATTAGGAATAAGCTTAGGTAAAAATCTTTCCACAGTTAAAATTTACGTGGTATAATCGTATCGAATCTATACGCACAATATATTATATAGATATGCTTTAAAGGTTTCTTTAAAACGAGTTTATGAATTAGAGTTCATTAAAGTTGGTAATTCGATTAGGTATTGTTTATTTTCTCAATGATCCAGTCAACGAATGAGGTAACTCTGGTGTATACTCCCGGTTGATTTGGTTCACCGCACGATATAAATCCGTAAGAAACTATTCCCATTAAATAGTAATGACCATCTTTTGGCCACATTAGAGGACCTCCAGCATCGCCCTAAGATCAAATGGAAATAAATAGACGAACAGAATACAGAATTTATTTTATGTTATGTATATATACAAATCAAAAAGTGAAATACCCCACAAGAGTCTTTTCCTCCTTCCTGGTATCCAGCGCATAGAACTCGGTCGTCAATTACATTGTATCCACCGGAATACGCTTCTTTACATTTTGAGATGTCCATTATTGGCATTTGAACTTCCATCAAAACAGTATTACGTGTTTCGCCTGAATAAATTGCAATATTTTCATTTTATACACACCGATTTGATAGTTTCAACATAATAATAGAGAAGCTGCAAGACCCTTATTGTTAAGTAAATTTTAGTTATAAACGTCATATACAATTATTTATTATAAAATGTAGTAGAATAGTTTTTTTTTAGATAGGTACCTACTCTTAATTTCAATTGATAAAAATAATAAAATAATACGCCACAACCCGACATGTATATTTAAAAATATTAAAATAGAAGTTAAAATACATAAGTATTATACTACCTCTAACTATAATCCACATCATTATACCAATCAATTGTGATTGATTTTTTTACGACCGTTTTATTTGTGTGTATATTATGAGGTATGGTTTATGGTACATTATTTATACGATTTATTATATTTAAATGATATTTGAAAATTATTCAAGGATAAACATCTCAGAAAAATACAATCGATATTCTGGTTAAATGTTTTTTTTTTATCTATAATATATGAAGGTAAACACGATATTACGATGAGATAATAATTCGAATCATATTCCTACTAAATGGTTAGAACTAAAAATTAAATTAAAAAGTAACCAAAATTAATAATATAATTAATACTAAAGATTGTATAGTTTATGGTAGGTAATTGTAATGCGTTTTTACTGGAGAAAAACAGTTCTTGTGTGGAACCCCAGCCCGCAACAAATGGCATAGGTTTCGACATATCCTCATTTTTCATATCCAATTGGATTGGCAGGCATATTGGTTGGATAAAATCTGCACAAAAAGTAAATATACACAAGTAAACGATTTATTTAAACACTATGGTGATAATAATATATTAATATTATATTGAATAGTTGAACTGTACACAAGATTATATATAATATATCCGATATAGTATTATGTCTTATACTCTTATACTATGCCTTAAAGTGCATTCGTGCCAGGGGCGTAATTAAGGGAGGATGAGGGGGGATATATCCCCCCAGAGCCTATATAATGTGTATATTTATAATATATTAATTTGAAGCTTATGGAATTATATTATGTTTTATCGTGCTGACATCACGACGAAATATATTAAATATAATTAATAATTAATATCAAGAAATCTATAAATTATTATTTAATTTAAAAGTAAATTTTAATTCTAATATATTCAAAATTTACATTTTGAAGAAATTATTATAATATTGTATAGGTACTAAATTGTGTAGAATTTTAAAGCACATTTATTAATACATTTTGTGAACATATATATTAGCTTAAGAATTTTTGATGAAATAGTTTTCCCAGATATTGTACTTGAAAATCCAAGTATCTTGTGTGGAAAAAAATGTTTATCCCCCCCCCCCTAAGAAAAATTCCTAATTACGCCACTGATTCGTGCGCTGCGGTTCTATGTACAAATAATAATAATTAATAGTTGCAAAAGTAACAAACTATAACAATAATCATGTAAAAATATATTTAAACATAATGATTATTAATGACACGRAAAAAAAACTTACCACCATAGGAAACACTATTTTTTAATTTTAGTATTGCAATGTCATTGGTGTTTTCTCGAGGGTTGTACATCTCGTGCGTGATAATATAATCAATTGGAACATCTAACGGCGTTGCTCCATCGTTGACGTTGAAATCCAAATCCAAATCCCCCAAGCGCGCCACAGTTCTAAAATAATAATAATAATAAAATGTTTGCATAAAAAAAAAACTGTATACCTGCAGTCACCAGGTAATTGTATACACTAATTACTTACAACCTAACAGTCTTTCGATTAGCCACGCATTGAGCTGCTGTCAATACATGTGTGYTGGTGATCAAAGTACCACCACATAACCAATATAATTCATGACTTCTAGCATTAACCTCTTGGTATCCCATGGCTACCATCCAAGGCCAAGCACCTATAAAATAGTTACATATATTAAGTAAGTCATCAGCGTTTCGGTGGGTTGGTAATTCTTCATAACTTCACGACGCGTGTTATCACACTATAGTACACAAAACGCGTCGARTAAATAAATTTATACAAATAATTCAAACCTAATATAGATTGGCCCCCTCCGAAAATTCGATTGTTGATGGGATTGCTGTATCCACATGTTTCTTGTGATGGCAATCTTGATGATTTATATGTCAGGATGTCACCAGCAGTGGACCCGCTAGTCGGTTTCGAGTCATTCAAAAATGTATTTTCCAAAGGACAGCATACTTTCGTGATTCCAGTTTCGTGTCCACAAAAGGATTTCTTCAGAAAGTCCACGACAGACGGAATGTGTCTCTGGTTTTCCAGTAATTCTCTTAACTTTTTACAACGCTTAATATCCATACAAACGCCATTTTCATTGTGTGGCGTACTGCATTCTGACGTTAAGGACAATTAAAAATAATCACATTTGAGCAGTGCCACATTTAGACATTTTGTGTCCCGGCGCAAAAAGTAATTGGCGCCGCCGTAGTAAGCAGCCTATACCCACAGGAAATAAGGGAGATACATCCTCGTGAACATTTTAAATTTTGAGCATAGAAAAGAATATTTGTTTTACAGCAATGTACTTTTTTAAATAATATCACGAACCCCCTTCCCCGAGGGGAGTGATGTATGCCAAAAAAGCCCTTCTTTTAATTCATTATATAAATTGTTTTCTTTTTTTTACATTTTTAGGTACCTACTTCATGTTTTCATGGATCATAATATATTAGTATAATCWAAATGAAAAATAATTTAATAAAACTATATAAACTATATGCAAATTAATATATTTTATATTAATATAGGCACCTTTATTTATCAAATAATTTGTTAATGTATTTTCATAAAGTTTGGTAACGATTTTTATATCCGCTTAACTTTTTTCTGCTGATCATATTAAAAATAGTAAAAAACAAACACAATAATAAATAAATAATCAACAGCGTCGAGTAGTGAAAAAAAAAAATAATAATCACATTGGCATCATTCACAAAAAAACTGTGGTTCAAGTTGGTTTTCTACATATAATAATATACCAACAACGCCGTATTATCGTAATATATAATTATGTGCATATTGAATTATGACTATAATTTGTAAAAGGAATAAGGAACTATTATTGGGTATATTATAATAATAATTATTCTCGATCGCTAAAAGCTTCAAATACAATATTATTTAGTTGTTTACATTTTGAACAGCCCAATACATTATTTATTATTTTATAATATGTATAATATTGTTATAAAAAAAATTTCAATTTTATAAGTTTTCTAAATTCATAAGTGAACTAATTTCCAGCCACATAACTTTGGCGTCCCCAAAATACCGGTGCCTGTGGCTGTTGTAGGCGTTGTAGCTTGCGCAGTTATGCCCCCCTCCCCCACTAAATTCAACCCTATACAGTTGAGTATCTGACATTGAGTTACAAGCTTGAATTTAATCAAACTAAATTTAAACTTACCATTGTTGAGGTGTGCAGTATTCATCCCGAGTATGAATGTCATGAAAATAAAATAATGTTCTTTTCTCATGATAAAACTGTACCTAAAAGATAAACTATTGCATTATTGTGAATTGAACATCGCAAAACATAATATGTTTTAATTGAACATAAAATTTGATTTTTTTACAAGTTATACTACTTCTGMCGTCACGATTTATTCACAATCATCATTACTTTATAAGAGAATAAATTAAAAGAATRAGAAAGTGGTAACCACTCTCTGATACATAAAATAGTAGGTGCCAAGTACCTATATATCGTCAATATAACAATAGTTTTAAATTTGAATTCAATGAAAGATAATTACATATCACAACTCTGAGTGWAAACGGTCTGTCAGCTGATATTATTAAGTATATTTTACTATAATTATAGTGGGAACACATTAAGAGAAAAACATCCTGAAAAAATTATTCACGTTGTATACTTGTATACAATTAATTTATACGAATATACTTAAGATTCCTCACAATCTAATAAATTAAACATGTATTATTTACGATGATATTGTAAACCAGTTTTATATGCTTTATTTATTGCTTTTACTAATAACTTTTCATCGTATTTCAACAGTTTATCATATCGTAGCATAAAACATTTGTTACATTCTATATATAATTAATACACAATTTGAAATTGACTTTACACAAAATAAACACACTTAAAACATTTCGACTCCGCACAAATTTGTATTCATTATTTAAAAAATCATACACGGCAGTCAGTTTGACAGTCACCACCAACACGAGCGAAATCAAAATAACTATTATTGACAGCCATCTTCCAATATTCATTACAATAAAGTACTACTTTAAAGTATTATAAATTAATAACAATAATTTTTCAAAATATCTAAACTATACATAGTATACATAATATATTCTTATTGATAGGTAGTAAAAATCTTTTACACAGTGCTCAAACTTAGCTAAGAAAAACTTATAGATAAGAAATAAAAATCCTTCCTAGATAACAAAAAACACAATAAGATTTTCAGATCACGTTACAATATTATCGTATTCAAAATGCGAACTTTCCTGATAGRTATAAGCTCATACAATGTATTATTTTGTTGTAAATAGGTTAGTGTAAAATCTAGACTCTAGGTGACCATATTTATAGAAAAAAATTGGACAGATAATTTTGGTTTGTTTATAAAAAATTATCATACATTTTTGAGATGATATTTTCCTGTTATACATAAGTTGTGTTTTTGGATCATCGAATTCAATATTACACTGTTCAACATTAACATGGAACATTCTTCATAATACGCCCATTGGCCATTATACACAATTATTCGTCGGAATTCGAGGGTCATCATGCAAAAATTTTTATTCATGACCAGACTTTGGGACTCGTTGGGTTTGAATATTTTTTATTTATAGCTGTAGAATATAGAAGTAAGATATTATAAATTTGTTTTAAGACATAACGATATTAAATATAGAAATATGTAGATTTTTATTATTGTTTTCATATTTCGGCATTTTTATAGGATAAACCATATCATATTTGATAAATATTGGCAATCTAATTATTGTTTTAACACATTTACATGTTTTTACATATTTTATTTTATRTAAATTTAATTTGATAGTTAACATTTTTAATTTTTACTGTTAAGAGATAACCAATATATAATCAATACACATAGTACGAGTCATAGACTCGTAGTATGATTTGTTTTTATTTAGCAACCTTTTAACATTTAAGTTATGTTGAGATAGATGATGTTTGATTATTCATCATTAACAATAAAATGATACATTTAAACACATTAAGAAACYAATTTTATTTGAAAAAAATTTAATTCATATTTTAGTTATTTCAGGCATGTATATGTATTATGTATGCATATTTTTAGCAATATTTTATCACAAAAAGTCCGAAACCGTAGGTATTTATAACTATTAACTTTGGTTTCAATAATATTACAATGTAAAAAATATATTGGTTTATATATTTTTTATTTTAGTATAACTAAAGTATAACTATTTTAGTATTAGTAGGTAGTTCTTATGCACTTATAATAATCTGGAGATGACAAAATTTATAAAAACGAGAATGTTTTCTATGAATGGGACAAAAAATGTTTTAAGTTTTTCTGGCAAGAGAGCAAATAATATAAAGCTCAAAAACGACACTTACTTAGATCCTACACTAGACCCAAAGCACAATTATTTTCGTTGCTCAAGAATGGCATCAATCGTAAAATTCAATAATAACAACCAAACCTAAATTATGTTTTGTATTACTAAAAGTAATAATTGATCCTAAATGTTTGTAGACATAGAAATATTTGACGTCATATAGAATATTGTGACGATTTTCGATAAACAGTTATAAAWTTAATATCCRACAAAAAATAATGTGTAATATATAGACATCGCCTGCCGAGAAGAMACTATATATAAAAAACCGGTATTTGTTTATTGCGTAGTTGAAGGATCTAAATTAATTAAAAAACTATATTATACCTGAATTGATGGTTTTCTTTTGTTCTACGGGCRACGTATTTTATATATTTTAATCGGGCGTCTAATACGATACGTTAGTATAGGAATGGATAACTGTGTAACGAGAATATCCGAATCTGCTAAAATTCGAAACCGCATAATATGATGAGTATAATCATGAAAAAGTAAATAGGTATGTCAGCAACTTTCTCATGCGCATATTTTCCACTTTTTACCGTGTGTTACGTTCTCCGCCTCTCATTAGTCGCATATACCAAAGCATGAAAATCGGAGAACCTAACACATAGGAAAAAGTGGGAATGCGCTCGCAAGTTTCAAACACGTATTGTTGCGTACATACCTCTTATATTTTGCCATGAGTATAGTATTAAGTAGCAGAACAGGTATGCAAGAAGCCACCATGTGACGTCACAAATAGTATCTGCAATGACGAGATCACGTATGGGAAGAGAGCGTACTTAAGAAGGGAATGTGGTTTTTGTTAAAAATTAAAATCTTTGTTTTTTTACTTGGGTCAAGCACATATATACAACCTGAGGGGGAGGGGGGTTAATATATTTTTATAATAAACTGTTGTTGTACAATTATGCATAAAGTGTGTTATAAGTGTGTATATTATAAATTATAATTAATATATACCTACTTTAAAAATGTCGGAGGGGTAGAACCTAACCACCCCTGTATACGGGATTGACTAGGGGTAGTCACGTAACAATTAATTATTATGAAAATGTATTTTCTACATTTTTAAATACAATACTATGAGAAATAAGAACATAACTTAAAAGTTATATACATGTTTAATACTCATATTAAGACCTATTTTAGATTTTTAGCGGAATGTATTGACTTTACAATGGTGAGTTTGCTTTGGTGCTTTGAGACATTTTTAGTAGAAATTTAGTATAATATTATGTACAAGGAAGGTTCTCATAAGTTGTTTTAAGAATAATAAAATGTTATTAAAGAATCAAAAAGGTTGGCAAGTGTGGCAGCTGCTGTACAGTATAGGCGCCAAGTGGTCTCATAAGTTGTTTTAAGAATAATAAAATGTTATTAAAGAATCAAAAAGGTTGGCAAGTGTGGCAGCTGCTGTACAGTATAGGCGCCAAGTGGATCGTTTTAATGGCCGATGAGTTAAATTTTAATAATAATTAAATATATCATTGTATACGAAAAAAGATTCTAAGTGGAAGCGGCGTATCAGCCCAGGATATATAATATTTTATTAATATAGAAAATAATATGCAAATTTTCATGATCTAAATCATGCTTATGTATCTTTAATATTATTAAATAGCTATACAGTGGCGGCTATCCTTGAGTAGAGATGTAGCACCTAGCTGGTACACCTTTAATAATATGTGGGTGGGGTGGGTTGTCTATGTAATGAATAATACAGAGTAATACTTTGGAATGTTTTAATAGAATAATAATTTATAGTAACTATGTGAATAGTTGAAAATTTGTTGTGGGGGGTGGTTATTTCTTATGCTTCGCTACACCTATATTTTTAATGATAACCGCCACTATATAGCTATATAAATAATTTATTTCGAACCTTGTATTATATTTTTAAACATTTTGACTGAACGAATAATATTCATCGACATTTACAGAAAAAGGACATAAAAAATCTAAGACGATCTAGCTATATATGGATGTAATATGATAACTTTAGTCACCAAAAAATTATTTCAATAATAATATTACAAATTTTCCTGTTTTTTGTTTGTATTTGCTAATTATTTTTTTAAGGTACAGACAATTTTTTTTTTTTTGACCACTCAGAAGTATCAACTAACTAATTTTCTGCTAGGCACTTTTTTGAAGTTGTTGATCAGAGAATTTTTTCTCCTAGAAAAAGTGTCTTCAGACACAACTATAGTGTGTGTGTGACGAGTACGCCGGCAGCGAGTTTGTGAAGCTTCTTATCGGTTAACGCGAATAACTTTCTTTATGCGACGTAATTTAAAAAATGTATTAAAAATTATTTAAACTATTACAAAAACTAGGATAAAATTCAAAATTAGAAATTAATAATCAACAAATCAACCCATACTAAAATGCTCGGGTCATACAATTTAAAATAGCTATGGTTTATCATTCTTTTGGCGCCACACGAATTCCACTGCCTAAAATTTAGATTCTAAATGTCGACGAGCTGTATCTCAATATTTCTTGTTGCGCCCAACCTTTCGACATTATGTATGTGAGCACCAGTTTGAGGATTGTAAGCAGTTAAATGGTTAAACTCTGTGTTCTGTTGTAGTTCATCTGTTTTATAACTTGCACGCTAACGATCAGAACAAATAGTTCTATCTTGGTTTAAATATTGTCTTAATATTTTATTTTTTTCCAACAAATTCCCCCAAAAATCTATTGTCGGGATTATTCTCTACCAGCATTATATTTACGTTTTTTAAAAGGACTCGTCGGTTTCTAATATTTTACCAGCGTCGCTAATTTTTACGCCAAAAGTTTTCAGACTTAAAACATATATTTCCYGCATACAAATATTCCGATCCACAGCAATATCGCCACATATATTTTACTGTGTTTGATACATTAGAGAAGTCATTTCTTCTGCCCAACAAATAACAATACATAAAGAGTAAAGCCAATATATTAATAATGAAACGCAACTGCCAACCAATAACCATCACGCATGTTTATTTTCTTTTGGTATTACTTAATTATCATAAAATTATACACATCCAAAATATTTGTTTCCGAAGTACAATATTTGACTTCAAATACGGAAAACTCTATGTGTACTTACTAAAATAAGTGATTGAATTATAAAATATCTATGCAGTTTTTGTGTAATGGCTGAAGATGGGCCTAACGTTACTGACGTACAATTAACACCGATTCTTACACTTATACTACAGTTATATACTGACTATATAGTTCTATACAATTCAGTATCATTTTTACGTTGTATAACTATGAATGGAAAATTAAGTTTATTAAAACAAAAGGATTTCTTTTAAATTTTTTTGCGTATTGTATTAAATATACTATACAATTTACATTAATATATTCTATGATATAACATTATTAAAAGGTCATTTTCACTGCGTAAAGACATACTATCTATGCTACATAAAGTAAAGTCAGGATACCAACCTTAGGTATAACTTATAGGTTATAACTTTATAAGTAATTGTTTATTACTAGGACTAAAATTGAACTAGTAAACTAAAAGTTTTTTGATTTTCAGTATAATTCTTATATTAGTCTAAATAAATATGTCCAATAATGTTTATATATTACTGATCATATTTAATATTTAACAGTCACGAAAAAAAAACACTAAAAAAATAAAATTTAAAATAATAATATACAGACAGTCAAATATTCCGTAACATATTTATATTTTAACAATAAATTATTAAATCTGTCTTCTTAACGCAGTGAAATATGAATAATATATTAAGTAAGTTGTCAGTAATGAGTTTAGGAAACTCAGTTTTGGTTTATTTTCTCAACAATCCAATCAGTGTATGAAGATACTCTGGTGTATACACCTGGGAAACCTGGTTGGCCACATATTGTTAATCCGTAAGACACTATACCCATCAAAAAGTATTGTTTTCCTTTTGGCATCATTAATGGACCTCCCGAATCACCCTGAAACCAATTAAAAACTTAAACATTATACATTTCTGTACTTCTATATATGAAACCAAATGAACCAATTACCCGACATGAGTCTTTTCCTCCCTCTGGATAACCAGCACATAACACTCTGTCATCAATTACAGCTGTTTGTTTTGAATATGCTTGTTTACATTCCGCGGTTCTTGTCATTGGAACTTGAACTTCCATCAGAGCAGTTGTGGGTGGAAAACCTGAATAATTGCAATATTTTTTTCATACATTTTACTAGTTTTTAGCAACTGAAATTTATTGGTATTTGGTTGATGACTGCTATTACATTGATTTTTTAAATATCAACTATTCATAATGAAATATATCTAATAATATTTTAACAATCAAAAACAATATATCGATCACAATAAAATAAATTGGTAATCGCTCTTTACAAGATCTATATTTTTGATACTTATGTTATTTTTACTTCAAAAACTTATTCGTTTGATCCATTTTAAAAAACACATGACAAATAAGCGATTGGTACAAAAAAGTCTGATAAAATCAGGCACGTATCTAGGATCTCATCTTGGGGGAGGAGGACGATTATTTTTTTTAGGAATAGTCCAAATCCTCCATGGTACATTTTTATTACATGTACACTTATATGTCAGCTCTATTATTTAAAAAAAAAGATTAAAATTTTACTATTATAATTTTAAAATTTTTTTGTTTGCTGGAAATTCATGTCTCTCTATTATCAAAATAGACTAGTGTACAGGCTTGGGCAGGGAGAGGGGCGATTGCCCACCACCCCTATCAAATATACGTGCTTGGATAAAATAGGATATAGAATTATAAATAGGTACATAAAAAAGTTGAAGAAATATTATAATATGTAGTTTTTTTTCAGCCTATTTAGTGCAGGCATTCTAACTAATTAATACTTACTGGGAGGTATACTGGGGTTAGGTTGAGTAGAACCCCAACCCGCAACAAATGGCAAACTTCTCGACATATCTACGTTTTTCATAGTTTGAGTGATTGGCAAACAAATGGGTTGTATAAATTCTAAACAAAATATACAATATATATACACATATTATTATAACAACATTAAACAGTTTTATAATTTATTTTTACAACCACGTTAATCATTTCTCTTATATTGCGTGTTGGGCTTTGAAAATTAGTGTTAATACTTCCCTATATATAGTGATTTGTGATACAACGCAGTACTGTAAATTAATGAAAAACGAAATTGTTTAAAAACTCACCATTAAAAGCAACATTATTTTTTAACTTCACCAATGCTATGTCGCTGGTAAGTTCTTGTGGGTGGTATCTCGAGTGTATGATGATACGATCAACTGGAACATCTATCGGCCTCGCACCGTCTTCGACCGTAGGATCCAAATCCAACTCACCTAATCGTACAGTAGTCCTGAAAAATTAAAATATTCTTAAGTACCGTCATTATGTCTGTGATTTATTATACGATAATGTCGTACAGGGATTTCATTAATTTACTCACAGTTTTACAGCAATATTGAATACGCAATGTGCAGCTGTTAGCACGTGTGTACTTGATATCAACGTGCCGCCGCAAAGCCACTGTACAGCGCGATTGTTTCGATTTGTACCCTGATAGCCAAGGGCTGCCATCCAAGGCCAAGCTCCTAATTAATAATACATTTTAATGGTTAGTCTAAAGATTCGGTCGACAGGTGAAAAATTATTATTTTAACTGGATGTAATCAATTATATACATTTTAATATATAAAAAAAAATGTCATCAAATAAAGTAATATCAGCAGTTGGTTATAATAGATATAATTATAAGCAAATACATTTTTAATTTATAATTATTTCTAAGTACTAACCTAATTCTGCTGGGGCTCCTCCAATAATTCGACTGCGGGTGACGTTGGTTAATCCGCACCTAGTTTGCGATGGTAATTTTGCCGCACCGTTGTTCAATGCGATCGGTTTTACCGATGTTGCCATTGTTACGGGTGCTACCGGCGCCGTTGATTCTACCGGTGCTACCGGTGCTACATTATTTTCCAGAGGACAACACACTTTTGTACTTTTGCCTTCAAATCCACAAAATGATTTCTTAAGGAAGACTAAAACGGACGGCACTTGCCTTTGATTTTCTAATAGAGTTAGTAACTTCGGACAACGCTTAATGTCGATACATACGCCATTTTCATAATTTGGAGTATTGCATCCTGTTGATTACAATAAAAGCAAATTTAATATTGTGACGGTTAATTTTTGTTCCCGTCGCTGCCTGCTGGGGATGACTTGTAAATATATTAATTATAGGTATATAGGCACTATATAAATACGACGAATTAAAAATCTTTGTAAGGGTCGAGTTACATATACACAAACTGTAACGATCTGTTGATTATCAACAAATTATAGTTTTATACATTTAACAATTAATACAACATTATGGTTCTAATGGTGTACTAATAACTTAGCAAATTTTTAGTTATAGCAAAACAGTTTAAAAATGTCATAAATTTGTTTCTAAAAGATTGGGTGGTTATAGGAAAGATATAGGTTAAGGTTATACTAAATAGGTAATATTATGAGTTGGATTTTATGATAACAGATTGAAATAGCCAACAGATTTTTCATGTTAGAGCATATTTTTCTCGCTATTGATAACGTCGTATATCAGTTTGACTGACCATACATTTTACATTATATTATTCTAAAACATTTTAGATTCTAAGCGGAGTGATCATTGTATTGGTTTTAAAAAGGTGTTTTTATGTGTACGTTTTTTTTTCTGTAGTTATCTAAAATACTTTTTATACAAAAAAGTTTCTATTTTTAATGAGTGGAACTTTTCTGAGAGAAAATTGGATCCAGATTATATTTTGAAGGAACCTAAAATACTATTAATTTCCAAATCTTTATAAAATAACCGAGAAAGACTAAAAAAAAAAATTATGATCGTATTTACGTAACATCAGTTTTTGACAAATTCGAATTTGTTTCTTGGACTTGACATTTTCACAAAATATTTTATATAAGCATTTTAATATGGGTTTAAATAATTTCAAAAGTATCTCCGTTAATTTTGTTCCAATTATTGACATTTGAAATATTCACAAACATTGTCAAATATTTTTATTTTTTATTTATAATAATAACGTTTTTTATTTATAAATTTTAAACTTAATTGAATATCAAGTTGCGATTAATTTCTCGAACAGAAACTAATGAAATATGTTAAATATGCAGTCGTAACATTTTTTTTTATAGGTATATAAGATTTTGAAGCTATAATTTTAACGAAATTGAATAAGTTACCACGTATAACATCGATTTCCGCTAAAATAATTGTTGTTATTTTATTGTTATTGGATAAAATATTGATCATAGAAACTTGAAACGTCCAATTATTATTTTTAATTTACGTTATAATTGTCTACACACATGAACATTTTATTCATGTTCAAATCGTTGTTTTCATTATTCTATTCCTTTGTTATACTTATAGACATATATTTTTGTTTTAATTTAAATATCTTTGATATAATTTATAAGATGTATAATCCAACTTTTACTGTATAAATGAACAAAATTTGTAAAATATAGCGCTATACAGGGGTATCTTTAATTTAAGTATATCTCAGTCTATGAGAAAATCGGCATCGAAGTACCAGTTCTTTATAAACTGATTCGACACCAAGCTAGACAATTATAGCCAAGACGGAGGCGGATTGGATATAGGCAAGACTTGGTATATTTTCAAACGTAATTTAAACTACTTTCCTAATATCCTTAAGAACAATTTAAAATTTTCATCAAAATCAGTCGAATAGTTTTTAAGAATATAAGCTACAAACATACATTATATACATTATACATCATAACAAAAATTCAACACGCATATCTTAAGAAGGAAATAATTTCTTTATTCGAGGCCATAAATTCGATAATTTAATATATGTATTTACCTCATCTACTTGAGCATAACCAGAAGCAATCATTCATAAATAAAAACAACAATTTTTGATTCGTTCGTGAGTCTCAAACGTTTCGTGTAAGAATTTCATTAAAATGCAAATTTCGTAAAATACTTTCTTAGTAGGTACATCCTTACATGGCAGTACAAAGGAACCATGGAGATATCAAGTATCTGGCTATCATAACGTAGCTATATATAGGGTGATTCACCAAGCAACCTCATTCTTATTTTTTCCTTTAATACTTTATTCAAATTCTGATATTTAGAATTTTTAAATATATTCAAAAAAATTATTTTAAACTTTTAAATTGTTTTGCACTACTTAAGCACTGTCCTAAGGATTTTGTTTTTAAAATGAGAGCCCCCTTTTTACTGTAAATTATTTAATGGATTACCAATCATCATGAATATTGTTTATTGTATTAAACAACATATACCATTGTATAAAATTTATTTATATACATTTATTATTGAAATTGACTTACCATTACTGGACTGAGAGGTTGCCATTCCAATCATACATGTTAAAATAACGAAATATTTTTCTTTCCTCATGTTTAAACTGAAAATGAAAAACATTTGTATTACTGATATCTAATATTATTATAAGCACAAATAAAACATTTTACTTTTTATCGAACAAACATAATTTATCTGTACGAATATATAATAATATCATCAAAAACTACTTTAAAATTTTATTTTACTGTAGGTAATAAAATTATTGGTCACAAACTCACAAACACATAACAATGTAATAGTTTTTCAGCAGCGTTTCACGTTTTTTTCTCGATTTAATGGGTAGTTTTATTATAGTAAATTTTATCAGCACTTAATACACCGAATTTAAATAGGTATTTAGTAAGAGAATCATAAGTATAAAAACACATTCGAATTGATTAATAATGATAATTTGTTTGGATGAAATGTCAGAAACCCGCTAATATGCTATAATAATTAATAGGTGATATACTTAAATTAAATCCAACAGATTTATAATCAAAAATTTACTAAAACTATCTATCATTAGTTATAATTTAGGAGACTTCCAATGAAATACATTCTAGAATATAGTCAAAATCTATTCGTACAAGTTGCACGAAAATTGTTTTAATAAAAACTGCATGCACTGTATAATATGTAACAAAACTACTATTTTAGTACTACGAAATCATAAAAATTGAGAAAATCGTTACTTATTGATTTCATTGATGGTAATAGCCAATAGGTACACTAAATTATTAATAGAGCCTAATACAATAAATTATAGACGACGTAAAAATATTTATAGGTATTATGATGAATTATATTATTCATTGTTATATAATAATTATACCTACCTATATGTTAATGAAGGGATTGGTGTGTAAATTGTGAGTAATTATTGAAATAAATGTATTACTATATTACACTGATTTGAAATAAAATCAGTTTTCAAACTTTATATATTTCGTTGGTTTGTTTGCGATTTTAGTAAATTATTATATGTTTGTTTCCGGTTGGGAATATTAATTCTTAAATGTTTGACGCTGAACTGCGCAATACTGCAATATTGCAATAATATCTATATTGTAATATTATAATGAATTATGTCGAGTATACTAATATCAAACCGTGATAGTACTTACTGATTCAATATTTCTGGTATAATATCGTTAGCAGTGTTAATTCCTTGAAGACGGAGACGACAATAATTGTATAATGTATAATAGTTATTATCCGCTAATATTTTCTACGTTGAACAATAGGTACTATCCAAATTACTTGGGTAGGTTTTATAATTTGTAAACAAATAAAAATCGAAATATCGCGTGTTCACTGTTCATGAATCAATTTCTCGGCTTTCTGATAAGTTTATGACGTATAACTTTTTTTTTATATTGAGCACCGTATAGTATTATACTTGTACCGGTCGGTGCGACCGCGGCTAACTGTGCAACACAACGATACGATTGCTGTATTTCAATGTTATATATTACAATATTATGTTGCAAATTATTATTATTATTATTATTACCAAGCAACCAGTGGGTTAACCGGTATAGAGAACACCAGTTGATATGTGACGTCACGCGTCGTATATATATAATATTATTGTACCTGCGGCCAATGGCAGGTTCGCATAGGTATTTATAATAATCAGCAATATACAATTACGGTTTAACTCTGCAGATTTCGGAGGGGTGAAAATATTTTGTTTTCTTTTACAGAGAGGAATTTATGAACTTTTTCGGTTTTGTTCTATAGAGATGCGACAGCAAAAACATGACAGAAAGGGCATATTAAATGATAAATGATAATATACCTAGGACGATCATATAGTGTTTGGATACAGTAACAGTGGCCAACGTTGGTTCCAATAATTCCAAAAAAAAAAAACTCTATATCCACCCACTACAAATATTATACTCACAATATAAATTAATATTCGATCGATCTATGTTTTGTATTCCTGATCGCAATAATCGACTTCCATAATCAACCATATTTATAAATTTATAATATTCTAGTATTCTAACTCGTTGCTGGGTACGATATTAGATCTCAAATTTTTTTTTCCCATTTTTGTTGTATCGCTAAAGAGGTGATTTGATTCATTTTTAAATATTAAAACATTATGTAACCTATATATTATTTATATGTCAATGAAAAATCAGTGAGATCACTTTATGAAGAATTATATATAATTACTTGTGTATACACAAGTATAATATAATGTATTGAAATTTGACCAGAAAAAATAGATACTTAGTTGGCAATCTGCATCAAATTTAAATTTTATAATTTAAATACAAATAACTATAATATTATAAATAGTATAATTAAATACCTTCCGTAGTTAATTTTATAAATATCTATTGAACGATCATGAAGTGGATTTAATATTATGTTACCCATATATAAATATGGAACACGATTTCGAGGCTAATTTATTTAATTGTACTAATTTATCATGATAGAAATTAAATAACTAACATGGTAATCACGCCTGGATCACGGAAGTTAATGATCTACAACTATTAAATAATACCTTAAAACAATTTAAATAGTCCATAAAAATGCCATGATTTTTTTATCATGATAACACGCGTAAATTTATGAAAAAAATGGTTTTATTAATTCATGATAATTTAATTATGTGTTACCATTTGAAAATCAAAAGTTGATAATGGTTTCACCAATAAATTTAAGGGTGAAAAAAAAATATTATATGTGCGCTTATAGGCCATTGGTTGTTATATTAAAATTGAACTTAATTAAACTTAAATATTCAAATTTATAATAGGTATTAGGTACTAAATGCAAATTTTCACTCGGAATGTTGGTGTACTTGGTGTAGGTAACTCATAAACAAATAACGGTCKTGGTACTAATACTATATTTATGTATAATAGTTGTATAGAGGTATAGACACTAGTAATATTATATACGTTTTAAAAAAAAAATTCTACAAGTACAACTATACTCGGTTATTCAAAGCTGATAGTATTTTAAATTAGTTAAGTACAATAATTTTAGTCCTAAAAATTAAAATTCATACTGTTTATGATAGATGTATGGAGACATGGATAAAAATAATATTTTAGTTATTATAGCCACAAACGTCTTACGAATATTATAGACTATTTCAAAATTAGTCTATAAAAGGCATATAAGTCGTATAACTAAGTGATTTTTAGGACTTTAGGAGGTGAGGTGTTTTAATTTAATATATTTAATTAAAATTCGTGATTAGACTTAAGACACTCTTTATTTTAGTCATAAATCTTCATGTTAATTATATTAAATAAGACCGTGTGACATCATCACAGTGGCGTGTCTAGAGCCTAGAAATTATCATTCGGGGAAAGTGTTGTTATAAGTAAAAATATATGGAAGGCAATTAAAGTGATAGTATCAGAGACCTAAATAAGGAACTTATACTAAATATGGGACAAAGTGGGATATAACCATACTAACTTCTCAACCCCCTGGCCACGCACCTGATGTGCAACATATTTTGTAGGTATCTGAATCGTAAAGACACATAAATATAATATAAATCTAATATTAACATACTTAGTGTTCATGTGTTTCAACACCTAAAACAACCCCTTGAGTACGCACTGGATTCTATAAGTAGACTCAATTGTGCTTTGACCACATTTAATAAACATGAAAAATGTCCTAGATTTTGTATGAAAAAAATTAATAGGAGCATTCTTCAATTTCTCACATGCACAGGCGGTGTCCCGCGAGGATTTATCCATTACGGTATCTCCTGAGATAATAAATATATCATAAATGTTTTTTTTTTTATTAGACTCGTAAAACAGGGGCTACATGTATTTTATTTTTTTATTTTATTAAATTTGTTGTTAAAAGAGTTAAAAAATTATTTTTTAATTTTTGAAAAAATTAAAGATACCTATTTTATAGAGTTTATTTTGCTGAAAAAATTGACCTTTCAATATTTTATTTTTATTAATATCATGATTTTTAATAATTTGTTTAGTTTATAGATAAAACAACTAAAATCTAGCTTTTGTCCTGATGGTGTCGAGTCTCCCTGCTTAGTAACATATAACAAATAAGTGATGAGGACGATTTTTTTTTTTTTAGTTAACAGAGTCTACTTTAATTTTGTCTAGTGGAGCACTGAGCATATACGTTTAAAAAACATAAAATTTTAGTGTGAAGTTAATGAAATAAAATATGTTTAAACTTAAAACATACACGTATAATTAATAGTTTACATCATTATTTCTCGTGTTGATGAATAACCTACAGTATGACCAGTATCGAATAATATTCTTGCATGATATTAAAAAATATGAAGCTAACAAATTAAATATATATATAGGAATATATTATTTATGTAGATAGGTTACCAATGCACACTATCTAAATATTAAAATTTGATATCTTAGATACTTAAAATATCTAAATATGTGGTATAAAAATCAATGATTGCCAATCGCAATTGATTTTATTCTAAAATTTTAAACAATATTAATTACTTATTAGATATATATGTTTATAAATTTAATTATTTCCAATAAAAAAAACTCGACGGGGCATTAACTTAATTATAAATATTGAGTATTTAAGAATATAAACGATGATGCTGAAACTCCACTAAACGTTAAACGAAATAATAAGTGTTATATTATACACTTTACCAGTTAATGAAAAACATTGTAAAAAACATAATATTGTAAACATTTATTAATCTATGATAAGTAATAGCTGACTGATAAAGTGATAAGGTGTATTTATTGTAAAGTAATGTTCGTTTCTTCATTTAATATATTTTTGTTTAAATTTGTATGTCCCATTTATCTATATTTAACAATTCAACTCCATGAAGGATAGGTATTAGCTATATATTTGTATTTAAGCAGAAACTAGAGCAATATATAACAGGTATGATAAAATCTGAAATAAAATTTTTTTTAAATAACGATCGTTAAATCTTAAATGTTGTATATTATTATTTATGACATAGTACCTACCTACATGGTACATAATATATGTTAAAATATACTTGCATAGGTATAAGTGTGTAATTTGAATTATGCTAATTATACCTATCGTGACGAAACGAGTAAAACCAGAAGTTGATAGAGTGTAAAAAACCGCTTACTTGTGTCTTGTAGTAGGTATACGGGGATTTCCACAGATTTTATTCATACAAAATATTGTATTACACTCTTACTAACACCTTACTATAAAGTACAAATTATGCCGAGTAATATTTCATATTTATTAGTTTATTACTGGTTTATCTGATACATATTATTTTAAAGAATTAAAATCAGCCAATACTTAGTGTCACTATAGCCTTTGTAAGAACCACGGTTATCTACTGTAGATAACCGTGGTAAGAACGATTGAATTCATAATATGCAGTAATCGCGTAGTTATGTAGATATATTTGTCCGTAAATATACTGACAAGGTTAGAACGGTTAGGTTAGACATGATAAAATACTCAACTATACGGTACGTATATCTGTAGGTACTTTGTTTTAAGAAGCATAACAAATAGAGATCAAATAGAATATTAGAAATATAATGAAAAATTCTTAATTTTATACCTTATACAGTTATACCTATCGAGAAGAACCTGTAAGAAACACGACGTGTACAGCACAACACCATCATACAACACAAAGCAGGAAGCGTGTCTGTCCACCTATCACCAATACCATATAATGAATTAATAATATAAATTAAATATAGGTACAGGGTATCTGCGAGGATTTACCCATTAGATATCTCTCGAAAATGGAGATATCAAAATTCTGGTTTTGTAATAATTTGGAAATAATTAAATAAAAAAATATATTTTTAAACTTTTTACTAAAACATTAAAATAAATTAAAAAATGAAATAATTGTAGTTCTCAATCTTAAGTCTTAACCCTGTAAGTCTTATTACAACACCAGAATTTTGATATCTCCATTATTTCGTGAGACATTGCAATGGGTATCATCATGTATACACTAATGATTATCCAATACTTACCCAGGTGGCTATCAATGATTTTATATATATATATATATATATTATACCAGCGATACAGCCTTATCTACCCAAAATGATGAAGTGGCAATTTCCATGATGTTGAAAGAGCACTAGAAAAATCACTTGGGGCAATGTTTGATTATCATGTTGAAAACTCCTTTAAAACCGAAAACCCAATGAGTCAACTTGTCTAATGTTAAGAAGTCTGTGTCTTTCATCTTAAAAACAGAGTGCAGATCGAAAACTGAAAATCGAATGGCAGAAAATTGTATTAGAGAACTCTGAACACCCTACATATCTAAGCGTCACGCAAGGTCGCTATAGACCGATCTCTAGCTCTAACGTATAATGTAAGAAAACTAAACAAAAAATTGCTGCAAGGAGCCAAGGAACGATATACTTAGGAAACTCAC